GTAGGAAGCATGGATATTGTCTTCTGTGACATGTTCTGGCAGTTTCCATGTCCGGCTAGCGATCGATGATGACCGACTCTCATTGATCAAGTAGCTGAATCCGTTATCTTTGTCTTCTTCAGCTGGATGAGTAGCCTTCACAGTTATTTTATGGTCATGTATTGATATATCCAATTCCTCCTTCTTGTATCCTGCAAGGTTCAATCTTGCTTCATATGAATTTTCATATTCTAACAAATCAAGGCGTGGTTTAGACGTCGAAGGTGCTGTATTAACGTGTTTTCTTGGTGCAACCTCCTCAATGAAGAATTCAATTGGGAATTCAAAGTTGCTTGGTTGGTTGTAGAAGATTGTCATTGTGTGTTTAAGACTAAGTTAAGTGTGTTTGAGAAGTTGCTTTGTTAATTTGTTGTTGATGGTAGACAACTGAAATACAACCTCAGCTTATATAGCCATCTACATTTCCTAGAGACTTCTGGTAGATTCACCCTCTGCACTTCTCTGGAATGTGGTGGAAAACTACCGAATGGAAAAGAGCGTTCAAGTAAATATTGAAGTAGTTCAACCTTAGGTATTACTGATGATTTAGATGCACTTATCTTTGTGTAATCATATTTGTGTAGTCCTCTCATTAAGGTGCATGGATTCAAGATAAGACGTCAATGACGCAAGGTCAACAATATTGTCTTGTCAAATGTTCTAATTAGGTATTCTACTTAAATGTATAGTACAATAATGCTATTATTTCAAACAGATGGTAATTTATTACGATTTGGTATATTCAGTCATTAGATAAAGAAGTATCAAATTTGAAACTACCATCAGAGCTTCTCATAGCGATATCTCTGTCTAGGATGCTTCTTTGATTCTTCTTTGGTTTCATAAATACATTGGATCTGCTTGACGTACTTCCTCAACCATAAAATTGCTTCATATTCGAGTTCGGGACAGCTGTTTACTATTATCTCATCAATAGGTGCAAACTCTGCACTTGCGTGACGCTGTTTGACTAAATCAATCAGTATTCTTCCAAAGGTACCTGATGTCTGAGATAAGTTGATGGCTCTTAGTTTTGGGCAGAGCTTTTGTTCGATAATAGCTTTGATTATGAACAAGTTATAACCGGTCGTAGCCAAATCCAAAGTTTTTAGTTCATTGTAATTCTTAAAACTATCGACTAGCCTGTTAATCTGAGCTGCCTTTTCTGTCCCTAGTATAGGGGAGATAGTTAAATCAGGCATACTGTTATCTCGAATGGACAAAGTTTCTAATAATGGTGAACTAGTGATCCAATTGGATAATACGTTTAAGTGCACCCCTTGTAATATACATCGTCTCAGATGTGGCATGTTGTAAGACATCAAAGGCTGTTGACTTGATTCACCATTCACAATCTCCATATAAACTAGTGATTCCAGTTTTGGAAAGTCTATCACTCCCATCTGTTGCATATCTCCCATTTCCCGATCTAACAATTCCATATTCCCACTTAGTTCCAGAGATCTTAGACTTGGAAAAAGTCGTGCAATTTTATGGAGACTGTACTGGAAGCTCCGTACTTGTTTGAAATGCTGCATTGTTTTGTTAGCAACATATACTTTTGGTGGCTCGTTTTCAAGTGATACCAAATTTACATAATGTAAATCTACACTTCTCGTTACACGATTTAGAATGAGATCTTCATCAACATTTGTCATGACTAGTGAACTTGGGTCTCTAACCTTTTTGGCAACCGATAAATTCTCAAGCTTATCGAACATGTCATTTGTAATGTAGTCAGTGAGGAAGTGCTCTGAGACGCTTTTGTTTTTGTGAGAATCCAAGTCATTTACGAGCTCGATTGAGGATAGTTTTACTTTCGCATTTACATCCAATGATGGTTTAGGATTTTCGTAGAATCTTCTATATTCTTTGTTGTCGTAGTTGTAAATCCTTACTTGTTGTAGTGGCGTATTATTTGCCCGCTTGTAATAGGTGTCAAGCTTTTTAAAAGCTTTACCTGATCCATTGAAAGTAACGGAACATTTGCGCCATAGTTGTGGTATATTAAGTAGTGTTTCTCTCCAAGTTCTATTAACATGCGATAGGCGCGCACTTAGAGCATAATCGTTGGTGGTGTCTCTTGCAAGCTCGATAATCTCAAGAATCATCTCTACGGGCAATATAGTCATTGGATCCCTGAATGAGCTAAGTCGTTGTTGCTCTAAAGCCTGTAGTTCACCCTTCATAGACTTTAAATCTGCTACTAAAGCGGCCTCTTTTACTTTGTTGGGTTGCTTCTCAAGCGCGTTTAAAGCGAGATTAATCATCGCTAAAGCTTGTTTACTCTTCTTTAAGGTTTTCAATATGAATGCACACCGTCTGTACCCCTGCATACGTTGTGAGAAGAAACGCGTATATGTCATCATAGGCTCACTTTTGGTGAATCTTGATCTAATTTAATCATTTTTCTAGCCACATCCAAAGCTTCTTTGTGCTTGTTTAGTTTTATCAATGTTGCACATTTCGTGTCGTATATCGTCAAATGCTTGTTCAATCTCAACGCCTGGTAAAATGAGATATGTAAATAAAGAGATATTCCTATACTTACTTGATCAAGGAGATCTAGAGATTTTGTGTAATTCCCTCCTCTGTATTCTTTCACAGCGTTGTCAAATACTGGCTTCCATTCATTCTTCGTGGATGTCATTAAAGAGCGATCAGGCGGGAAGAAAATAAATAACCAGATATATTGAACTTATTGAGGCTTGATTATCATATAAATGTGAGAAATGCGTATGTGATAAGACCAGATGTCCTTATGGCGAGCATATAAAATACACTGAACAGCATATTCATACGACAAATACAGCCTTCTAGATGATCTCACCAGTTGGTTTTAAGCTAATTGTATTAGGAAGTACATAGCAACAGTCAAACGATTGTATATAAGCTCGATGAGAGTGTGCGATATATATCAGCATTTTCTAAATGGTGTGGCAAGAGAACTAAGAGTACAGTCTTAAGACTCTACTTAATTAGTACTTTGTAACTTAGCTTCTCCACTTTATTAAGAATCATATCGAAATGACGTAACGCATGCCAAAATGAGCCCTTTGAAGCACATTTAAAGGTAAGACACGCATTATTACACAATTCACTTTTTAACAACCACAATTGATTATATGAAATCAAAAAATCACTTGAACAATCATTATATGGCCGTAACACCCAAATCCGTCACGAGGGTCTCATCTTAAATCATCTTTATCCACTACAACTTGACGTCCGACTATCAAAATGAGTAAAAGATTTGAAAGCCTGGATTCCAACGATCAAATGAGGAGCAATAAAGAAGTTCCTGATGATACTTCGTCTGGCAGCTCAAAAAGAGCCTATTTTGAACGGAAGGACGAGCAAGGTAGAAGAATTCTCACTGAGGATATGGCTCCAGAAGTATTAGGTTACGCATTTAGTGAACGAAAAAAGTACATGATCATCACAGTTATCGCTATACTGCAGATCTCTATGAATTTCAACACATCGGTGTATCCGAACGCTGTTGTCTCAATCAGTCAGACGTGGGACGTATCAGAACAGGCAGCCAGAGTTGGACAAATGATCTTTTTGGTACTTTACGCTTTCGGTGAGTTCCTTCATACGAATGATTAGAAAATTTTAATGGTATGTTAAGGATGTGAATTATGGGCACCGTATGTTCTAAAAGACATATAACTGTAAACTAACAACCAAAGGTGGTCTGAGGAGTATGGTAGATGGCCCATCTTGCAACTATCGCTCTTTTTAGTCAACATTTGGTCTCTTATGCAAAGTTTAGCGCCAAATTATGCAACAATGATCGTCGGTCGTGCCCTTGCAGGTCTCTCATCAGCTGGAGGCAGTGTCACACTCGGTTTATGTGCTGACTTGTGGTCCGCCGACACTCAACAGTACGGCGTAGCATATGTCGTATGGTCAAGTGTCACCGGTACCACAGTTGGTCCCATCGTGGGTGGTTTTTTGCAGTCTTTCGCACCTTCGTGGAGATGGATCTTTTGGATACAACTTATTTTCGGAGGTTTCACTCAGGTGCTGCATTTATTATTTGTCCCAGAGACACGTTCCTCTATTCTACTCGACAGAGAGGCAAAGAGAAGGCGTCAAGAGGCAGCTAAAGCGGGTAAAACAGTACCAAACATTTGGGGACCTAATGAGGTGAAAGCGCAGAGAATTACAATGAAAGATATCACAAGTAGGGTAGTAATTCTTCGGTGAGCGAGCTAACCAAACTTTGCAGTTACCTTTATCAGACCATTTGAGTTCTTTCTCAAAGAGCCAATCGTATTGTTCTGCTCATTGCTTTCTGGTTTCTCAGACATGCTAATTTTCATTTTCTTGGAATCATACAATCCTGGTAGGCGAGTTATTTTTATTGTTATTTTCTAACGTATGAAAGTATTCGAGCAATGGAATTTTAAGTCCTATCAAGTCGGTCTTGCTTTTATTCCGTGAGTCCATTCATCGTGAACTTCTTTCATTAACAAAGACAGTGTCTGGATTGGTTATTTCATTGGGTAGGCATAATAGAAAAAGCACAAAGTTAAAGCTAATAAACTTTAGCTGGGGATCATTTCTTCCTTTCATACGTCGTGACATAAAGAGGTATGTTAAGCTTTCCGGCAGAGCTGCGCTAAATGTATTCTAGGAGAAAGATAGATCCATATAGTGTTACACCGGAGAGTAGACTATACTGGTTGCTGTACACTGCACCATTAGAGGCCATCGGATTATTCGGATTCGCATGGACGTCCTTACCACCAGAGGAATATGAAACTCACTGGATAGGTAGGTATAGAAGCATTATGTTATATAAGTATATTAAAGAGATACATAGCACCTATGATTTTTGCGGCACTTATTGGTATTGCTAATTACTGTATTTATATGGCTACTATCGATTACATGGTAGCTGCTTACGGTGAGTAAATAACTTTCTCGTTGTATCTTCATCTAACTTATCAAAGGACCATACTCGTCTTCTGCTACCGGTGGAAACGGATTCGCCAGGTGAGTTCATATTTATGAAATTCTAATGCTTATTCCCATTCCCCTTAGAGACCTATTGGCTGGTATTTCCGCTATGTTTAGCACACCCTTTTATTCACATTTCAAAGGTAGAAACAAGCTAACATATCCATCCACTATACTCGCATGTATTGCGGCGGTGCTAGTAGCTCCTATCTTCATGCTATACTTTTACGGACCAACAGTTCGTCGCAAATCCCGCTTCGCTCAGTCTCTCAATCAGGAAAATGAATCTACCAAGATCAGGAAGCAGGTTAGAGACGAAAAGGCGCTGGGCAGCGCAAAGCACATCGAGCACTCTGCGTAGATTGCCGTGATTCTACATTGCTCTTCACATGTCATTTTCTTCTCATATCACCTTTAGTTTATAGGATTCTCTGTAAAATCTCTCTTGTATTCCATAGATGTTGTTTGATTACCCTTTCACTTAGTAAACATTTCCGGACTTGGCTGTTCAATTTGGTGTACCTCTGTCGCGATTAAGTGCGGAATCCCGTCGCTAAGATTTCAGTTACATCACTCTTATCACTGAAGGGTCTCAAATATAACGTAGCGGTTACAGTTAGTTGACCTTTGCAAAGACCCTAAAAATATACGAAACAACCACAAGAGACCTAGAAACTATGCCAAGGTTAGACCCTGCCTTCTCTGTCTCATCACACGCTAGCAATTAACTTATCTACGAACGAAATGTTTTAGATGGCAGTATTGGATGATGTGTAGCCACACTTGTCGCAATATAGGTATCTCGGATTCTATTTAAGCCGGCCCTGTAGTAAATTGACCGTGCGACGCTGTAATCCAAAAATGGATAACAAATAATATTTATTTCATCGCCATACTAGTAATCTCAAATGACCTTCATGTGCTACAGTTGTATTACATAAAAGAATTTTCTGACGTCCCTGATGGTGTTGGCACTTCCGCGAGAGGAGGAAGAGCAATTATACGAATATCGCCACTGAATATAATAAATAGCAGACAGACTTTAGCGTGTGATCCTAAGAAGTCCGGGCGGCGTTATTCGATCGCGCGGACTGGCGAGGTTTCAAATGAGGTCTGAGATGTGGCGATGTGTAAAAACAAAGCGGCAATGCATAGTTGGTATCCGCGGAATCTGCGGTTTTTATTGATATGTAATTTACTCATATTTACTCTTTTTTAGGGTATGATATAAGATCAAATCCAATCTTTATTCGGTTCCTGAGAAAACTTGTCGATTTTACGAACGCTTTGGTTAGTTCTTTCTCACTCCACACTAACCCCGGCTTTCCTCCAAAAAAACCATTCTTGTAATATAAGCAGCTACCGTAAGTACTGTTGGCAATGAAAACAAGGTAAACTTACAGTCCTGTTTTAGTCGCACTTCTTATAGGATCAAGTAAACTTCCAGAATGCCAATTCTCAAGAAAACAGGTATACGCTCTACCTTCTTCCCTGACGGAAGCAACCAACAACAGGTTGAAGGCGCCGAACATGAACAACGTGAAGATGCAACCTCATCAGAGGGTAAAAACGAAGATGGAAACATCATTTTGATTGTTAGTCACCGCTAGAAATGCTCTTATTTTGACTAACAGTTCTCAGGCTTTTGAAGAAAATGACCCAGAGAACCCGTAAATATGCAACCATATAGCGCTTGAAGTGTGCTCTAACCATAGCTTTACAGTCTCAATTGGGGTAAAGGCAGAAAATGGCTTACAACATCCCTCCTTAACGCTATGACAATGAGTGAGTCTCTTCTTTGTCGAAATTTACTATGTTGACATCGCCACAAAGTTATCGGTTTAAGTACCTCTGCGTACTCACCGACAACTGATGCGATAGCCGAAGACCTCGGTGTGTCTTCTGAAGCAGCTCTTGTAGGATATCTACTGCTTCTGTTATTGAAAGTTACTGACGACATCGCAGGTCGGTATGTTTACCTTCAATGCTGCTTGCTCAGTTGGTCCATTATTCCTTGCACCTTTCTGTGAGATGGTGGGTAGAAGATATGTATACATTGTAAGTAGCTTCCTCTCAGCACCATTTGAGTCAACGATACTAATTGAACTTGTTTAGGGTGGATTTTTCTGTTTCACTGCCGTATTCCCTATGTTGGCAGCTGGTCAAAACATCGGTACAATGATTGTCGGTAGATTACTTTCTGGTTTGTTCGGTTGTATCGGTACTATCCTTGTTGGTGGTACACTCGCAGATATCTGGGTAGATGAAGAGAGATCGGTACCTATGTCACAGTTCACATTCGTTGCTATCTTCTCTACCATCGCTGCACCAGCTTATTGTGGATATATCGTTGAACGCGTAGGATACAGATGGGTCGAATGGGTACACATGATCGCAAGTGGTACACTTCTTCTCATTGAATTGTTCCTCTTTAAAGAGACTCGTGGTGCTACCGTTCTCGCACAACGTGCGAAGAAGTTGAGAAAGGAAACAGGAGACAATCGTTTCAGGGCACCTATTGAACTTGAATCAGAGTCCATCAAAATGCTTCTTCACAAATCATGCACCCGTGCTTTCATCCTCTTGGCTCGTGAGCCAGTCATTCTCTTCTTCGGTATTTGGATCGCTTTATCCTGGATGCTTGTTTTCATGTTTATGACTGTCATTCCATTGACATTCTCTGGAAATCACCATTGGTCAACCGGTAAAGCAGGTCTTCCTTATATTGCACTTATGATTGGATGTGTATTGGGTTACATCTCTGGATTCTGGTCTGATCACATGTATAACAAATCAGCTGAAAAGAATGGAGGCAAGCCTGTTCCGGAAGCTAGATTGTACGGTGCAATGGTTTTCGCTCCATTCTTCCCAATCGGATTATATATCTTCTCCTTCACTCAATATAGTCACGTACACTGGATAGCACCAACAATCGCGCTCGTACCGATGATTTTCGGTATATATCACGTTTTCCTTGCTGTCTACAACTACACTTCAGATTCCTACGGAGAATACTCTTCATCAGGTATCGCTGGTCAAGGGTAAGTTAAAACTTTCTTTAAAGGTTATGCTAACAAACGCCCAAGTCTCTTGAGAAATATGGCTGCTGCTGCATCACCTTTGTTTGCTACCCAAATGTTTAAAGGAATGGGTTATCAGTTCGCAGGTCTCTTCCTCGCGCTTTTGGCCACTGCTATAGCGCCACTCCCATACATCCTGTTCAAGTATGGTAAAACAATTAGAGCAAAATCAAAGTTTGCCAGTGCCACAACTGGTTTAACAGATGAGACAAATGATGCTGTCGCCAATGCGGAGCTCGGAAATACCGTACAAGAGTCCAAAGAATAGATATTTTGGCTGAGCGTCGATTAATTATTTTAGATTATAGACATCCCTTTGTAATGACATGTAGAAATTTTCTTTGACACATAATTTACTCCTTTTCTGTCCTAAACGAGCTTGTGCAAATAACTAAACTTCGTTTCTATTCACTCAACCTTGTCAATACGGTATGTCTTTAAGTCATCACTAAGGCATAGGGTAGTGACAGCTGAGATATATAGACAAAGAAAGACAGCATTTATATAAGAAAAAAAAAGTCTACTTTACTCATGTATTTATGCAAAGAGTACAAAATAATGGATTCTCCAGAAAATAATTACAAGTTTCCATGTCTATGAGAGTTCCATGCTTTATGATATACCATAAAGCAAATCCACGCGTCACGCATCATGTCATCTTCTGTCGTATGCTGGCGGTGGTGGCATAGGTGCAGTGGTGTTTGTCGTTACAGGTGTGTAGTTTGGCGGTTGAGAACGTATATCATTGGTTGGTGATGCTCCTACCGGCAATGGTAAATCAGCTGATGAGCTAACAGAAGGCATGATTTCTTCCGATTGCGTGAAATCTTGACTTAAACGCTGGTGATAATCTACCATGCCGTTTTCAGCAGCTGGTTGCTGGTTGAAAACGGTCTCAGCTGTGGCAATTGGCTTGGAAGGTGGCTCATATGCGGGAAGCTGTTCCTCCTCTTCCTCTTGTGGTCTGTATGATGTCATTCTTGGCCTTGGCCTACTAACACTACCTCTTGGTGGTCTTGGATAGTGATCATCGAACGGAGTTGTCTGGCGCCTGCCAAAGCTCGAGTGCCTCACGTGATGGGTATCTTCATTTCTGATCTTCAGTGCCCGATGTTTGGTAAAAGTTCTTGCCAAGAACGGTATAAATACGAGACATGCACCCACAAGGGCGATTATAATACCTATTTTTGCTGCATCACTTGAATCCCTTTTGGCGTATGTATGTAATTGTGTCGTATTATTCTGTAAGGAGTACGCTGTGGCGGGGTTACCTATATAGTAATGAACTTGACTGTACAATTCTTCTAGAACCATTATGAAGAGCTGATATCATATATTTATACGCTCAAAAGTGTTATGACGTTGATAGTTCGGTTTAAAGATATGTTGATATCGATTTGTACCTCTGATCTTGCACAGCAATAGAACCTTACAGATAAGTGAATATTCAGAACTCCGTGTAAGATATACAGGTCAATGTGTGTGCATGAAGAAATTGATCTATAACGTCAGCTAACGTACTCAATCTGCAGTTGCCCAGTCATGTGATTTTGGAAAATGTCAGGATTTGGGGTTACTCTATGGTTATTCTTACTGATATTATTCGCAGTGAATAAAGCAATGCAAGTGTGTTTATGGTGTCTTGCTAATGTTGTCATTGTGCTGTTGGTAGCAAAATAGTAAATAAACAAAAACTGGTTATATAACAATATAAGCAATTCTATGAATTGGTACATATGTATCATGGTGTAGACCCGTACATTATATAAAAAGGTTTGAATAAAAAAAGTATGAATGCAAAATTAAGTACAAGGATTTACAGGAATAAATAAATTAGAATGCTAATAAATGTAATGCTAAAATGATGATTGATTGGCTTCTCCTCATTATGACTGTATTATGACTTCACGATGATGGCTTGATTGTTTTGCTAATGTAACCGAATAGCGTGAAGAATGGCGGCAATCTCCAACCTTCACATAGAACACAGTATTCATTGACATAGGGATTGATCGTACAGCACAGCGTGCATTTCCAGTGAAGACCGTCGCCGAGATGAGCTGGTAACGAGAAAGGCTGCATGATAGATGTCAACATAGCTATGATTAAACGGTATACTCACCCTTGGGATCATTTTTATAGAATATGTCAACTTAGTAGTTGTTTATGCTAACCAAATACGTCAATTCTGTCCGCCGACGACATGCCAAATCAGACGATTTAATCAAAGCAATGCATTTGGTATAATATAAATAAATAATTAGTAAAAGAGCGTCTGTTTCGATTTGTTGTACTAAAACGCCAGCGTTCTTGTGCGTACTTAATTATCAAACTGACTGAAGAAACACCTGCGGGATTGTTGTTAGACAGTGATACACGGGCTGCTAACACTCACTTTTTGCAAGTCGGGGAATTGTCAGCATTAACAAAAATACAGCGAGGACAACACCATTGAGCGTCCGCTAAAACGAGAAGCTGGATTGTGTGAGCTGTCTGCACTATTATGGTATGTATCTACTAACATACCTTCTTGAAACTCATTACGTAAATTTATATGATGATAGTCGTTTAGAAACAAGCTCTTATCGTTAATCAGGTGACGACTTTCCACAAACAGACAAGTCAACAACAATTCTAGGCACGATAATTGCGGACGATATTATTACAATGCATTAATAAAACTCATTACAGTGTTTCGGATGTTTTAATAAGGGTTTTATATTGTCCTCATCAGTGATGATTGAGGTGAAATTTTAGCGCTAAATTTTCATCACAAAGTGCGTTGTTTCCACCATAACATAAAATAGCATTATATTTGTTTCTTTGATTCTTTTACACAGCACAGAGAATCCTTAATCTCGATATATCATCATGTGTGACGTGACATGGCAGATTTTTTAATAGCGCATTCCTGTGCTAGCTGGGGAATGAATAATTTTATGCCATTTCGTTCAAAGAAACCGCCAACAATGTAAAATATTTCCATAACCTGGACATACCCTGAAATGACGCAGTTACTATATATTAATGGAGAAATGCCGATTGAATAAGGAAAAATTGTCTACATGCAATAACTTCTATAATGCCTATTTGTTTAGGTTCTTTCCAGTCCACATCTGGTAAAGATGTTAGTGTATTTCTCTTCTGGACGTTGGCACATACTTTCTGCAATACTTTCTAGTGCCACTGTTGAAAGCTTTGCAGTCAATACAGGCATAGCACTTTGTGAAATAACGGAAGCACTATAGTTTTATAAGTGAAATGGATATTACTTCTGTTCTATCTCACCTTGTCAACTATGGACATCTGTGCTGATTGAAGTGAGGTATATTAAGTACGTGATCAAGGGTACTACATATTCTTCAATGTAGATGCAAAATATATACTAAATTTAATAATAAAATGCCTAGAGATCTTGGTATTTCTAAATTAAGACACATAAGAGGACAATGAGGTAGCCCTAATAATAACACCTCAAAAAAGTCTTCAAACGTAGTTCTTAGATCGTAATAATACAAATGAATATTTATTACTGTTACAATTCTTACTAATGATATAGACGGAGAGTTATCAAGTACTAGCTAGGCTAGGTGTTTCGACAAATTCTATGTTGTGGATGTTACTGTTTGACTTCAATGGTGGGGAACTAGGTGAAGAATCTGAGAGGTTGTATTCTTCTAGTCTGATATCAGGCGCCATTTTTTGTGTCTGTGAACTATCGCAAGTAGTATCGTCTTCATCACAACAACGTCGTTTAATGGTCCTTAAAATCTTAAACATTAGGTTGATGTTTTCATTCTCAACGAGGAAGACAATCGCAGCTGCCAAACCACTAGTCGCGAAGACAATCTGTTTGGCGGGTTCGAAGTCATTGAAGTTGACGGTTAATGATAAGACGACTGAAAGTGCCTATTAGAAGATTATATTATATTAGTTTTATACCCACTTATAACCGTTATAGAGTAGTAGCTAAAGAACAGAACTCTACTTGCTAATTGAAGATGTACGAACCAACTGACTTTGACCAAATTTCGCTGCGAGAGCCGCAATTTCAGTAGAAGATATCCAACACAAATAACAGTTATTAGGAGTAGTATCATCAAGACCAAAGTCGTTATTATAGAAACCCTTGTGAGATAAGTATCAGTTTGATCAGCGAAGAAAGGTGTTCTATAGGTGTTTTCGGGATCCTCCAACGCTTGATACAAATGGGAGACAAAGAATGGTATTCCTATTATCCAAGGGAATCCAACGAGCTGGATTTGTTAACATAATAGAGTGTGCAATGGCTCAGCTCACCATTGGGATACTAATGTAATTCGTATAATGTCCTAGCGTTGAAAAATTAACGACATTTATACTTATTAACATTTGTAAAGCTATCATCCAGCTGCTTGATGCGTTCTGTATCATACCGGCTAATCGGAAAGCGACGTTAACCGCTCGTATGCCTTTCGGTATCTCATCTGTAAAACTATGTGCATGTCCTGTCCATAATAATATTGACTGACTTGATTAGATATCATTAGTTACTATATAATCTACTCACATCGAACCATAATGTGAGTGCAAACACTGGAGATAATGAGTTTAGAAAGTTAATTAGTAAATGAATCACCTACAAAAATGGAAGTTAAGTAAAAGAAGCATATTCTTGTTCTTTATCCTATGAAATAATCCTAAGAAGAATAATACAATATGTAAGAAGCATCCGATGAGTATAAGAGAATAATAGGCTGCCAATTGATCTGACGGTGCAGGCGAATGCATCGGTACATCTTTTAAAGCCATCTCATTTTTCTTTTTGTGTCGTTGTGGAGAGAAACCAAACTTTAGAATGAGGGGCTACATAGTCATCGTATCATTTGATTGTCTCAAACTTTCGGAAGTTTTTTCGCGATAATACATTAATTGATTAATTTAAACAACACTAAATAGTAGAATATGGCCACTTGAAGAAAGTTTACATCACGTTTTGCACAATTTTTGGGGTGACAAAGTGCAACGTAGGGGCATTTAAGCCGGATTTTGTGTATAATGTGTTATTGGAGATCGAAGGGTTTTGCGGAAGGCTAAGTTACAGCTACAGACACTTAAGTGTCTTTCAAGCTCACTGCAACTAGATAAAGTAGTTAGCATCGAACATGCTACCAAGCATACCCGACCAGTCGTCTGTTAACGCACTATCAGGAAGCGGCAAAAAGCTATTCAAATTCTGAACACCAAATAAAGCGTCATTTAGGTCGTCATTCATAAATTGTGGATCGTATTCCGTGAGGTTACCGGTTTGTAATGGCGATGAAGTACTTTTAATTGGTAGACCAGCTTTCATACATATGTTACTGACCATATCGAAAGCTCTTCCGCTCATTAGATCTCTAGATTCTCGTACCTTGAGAAGATGTACAGCCATACTTATGAAATCCAGGTCCTCTTCGTTCTCTGTGTTATTATTTTTACACTCGCAGTAGTTGATTATGAGTATCAAAGTACTCGTGAAGGCCTGCAAGAGATAAATAAATTTGAACAAGCATACGACAGATACTCACACCCCAGCTTATGAGACCATCAGCAAAGAATGTCCTGTCATCATTGTCCCTCCCGCAAAACATCTTCATTTGGGTCGAAATGATCGACTTTGATGCGTTAGTACATATTTCCAAACTGGTTTGACGAAATTGATGCAAATCTTCTGACCTTGTGTCGGGTATAAATGTCTTGTAAATGTAGATCTATATTATCTCTCATCAGAAAGAGGTTTTAATGGAGATTAAAGCCACTCACTTGAGTCATGTAATATGCAATCTTCAAATACCACCTCGTATACTTCAGATCATCATCCTCATCATTATTCTCGTTTTTCTTCATCTCTTCTCGCAATTCCACTGGAAAGGCTTCTAGTTTAATGTCAAATTTGTCTTCATCGCGAAGCTCATCAGGTAGCCTTCTGTACCATTCATTGAGATTGGAATTCACCGTGGCAACAGTGTTAACGCTCAAGTAATGGTCAGCTTTTGCACTATATATAGTACTTAGAATATCGCCAAGGATTTTGTAGAGTTTGATCAGTTCGTTCAGATATGTCACCCTTGTTTCTGCTCCATAAGTAAACTCATCGAAGCCTTCAGCTGAAGGTAAACCAATTTGTATGTCTTCAGCAGCTAAAATCCGTGGTCTACCGAACAAAGCTGCGGTGCTAGCATCAAGTATGAATAACACCCAAACAGCTCTTTTCGTTTGTTCCAAAGTGTACCTATCTACTTTATCATTTCGCCATTGGAAACATAATCCAATATCCTGTGCTAGTACCACTGCCATCCCATGGATTGCCCAGCTAGATTTCAAGGAAGGCCCTTTTTGCAGATACACTTGAAGTAGTATAAAAGCTTGAATATCTTCTAAAGTGGCTACAGATGTGGTCGCGTCTAACATCATTGCTTTAGAGTTATTGTAATAGTTCAAACCTGCCATAAAATGTAACGTTTGAGGATCAGTGCCTGTGTTGAGGTATTGACTGCCGATAGCGCATACAATCATTAAAACACAATTAAAGCCCCTCTCATGCTTGCGACGAGGAATGTCTTGCAGAAATCGTTCTCTGTGTAGCAGAGGCAAGGTAACATTAACATAATTGAAGTAATGTTCGACTAAATTTAACATTTCCGTGTCATCAACGGCCGTATAACTAGTGCTCGGTTTGTTACACGGTTGGTCTGGTTCGTCTACCCAAAACTGTGGGCGTTTTTCACTTAATAGCTCTGTCATTGATGTGCGAGTATAGAAAGAAATCCTCTGCAATAATCCTCTAACGGAGGATCTTCCAAAGTACCTCTTATGCCCTGAACTGTCCTTTACTAGTTCCTCACGCATGATAGTCTGTTTGGTGGATCCCTCATCATTCTGATTTCTTTTCCGTTTCTGAGATTTTGAAGAAAGTCCTTTCGGTGTATCTTTTTCTAAAAGCTCTGGTGCTATTTTCTCCAACATTGATTCATACTTTGCAATCTTTTCGATATTAGTGATCGCCGATACTGAGGTATGGGATAATACGCACCTTAAGCTCAAGCTCTTGGGATTTACCTTTCTTTGGTGCAGCTTCTTTATACGTACACGGTACGTTCTTACAATTTGAACAATTCTTAGGGTAAGTCTAAAAATGTGAGATATGAGATGAGATAACCGGAGATCACATTTAAACTCACTTGAGGGCCATTGCATCTAATTTTCTGTACTCTACATTTATCACAGGCTCTGTGTATCTTTGGATTCTTGCTCTCAGCTAAATTTGTATTCATAGATCGCTATCTAATGATGGTGGTTTATAACAAACAAAAAAATATTATAGATCCAATAAGAACGATAATCGTAGTATTAATCGTAATATTAAATAACAAATAATACAATTATTCTCCAATATTCTTACATTTTTACCTCAAAAAGTCAACTACGGAAGACGTTTAGAAGGTGTAATACAGGACCGCAATAAAGTATTTTAAAATGTGAAATTATACATAGTATTTAGATCTCCTCGATAAAGTAAGCTCGTTGCGGTTATCTCCTTACATCTTAAGTTTTGACAGGAATCGGGCTTGTATAATCAGCTGACGATGCATGCCTAAAATACAGACTTTTATACAAAGAATTAGACGCAATGAAACTCTTCAGGCTGCGAAACATTGAACCGCGTTATTTCGTACTTACCGCGAATGAGTTTACGGTGATGTCATTTCGTTCACACTTTCTGACAACGTAGGGAGGGTACATTGCATGTGCGCCTTTACCCTTACACCTTTAAAGTAAATAAATGAGATCTAAATATTGGTATTGGTTGCATTAAAGGGTAATATACTTAAAACAGAATACAATTGAGCATCATGTCTGCTCAAGGCTGGTGTTATCAACTTACCCTACATAGGGGGAAAATCTGGACAAACACTGCTTGAGTGGGTCAGAAACATTACCGAAGTGAGAAATACATCTCTATTGATGGACGATAGAGATAATCATCACCTAGAGACCGAATTTAAAGCATGTTCGCAATTAATATTGTACTTTAGATGAATTAACATCGTTAGCATTATGAGGAGGAACAATCTATTTTATCTATAAATTGAGTTATCGCGCATTTCCTGATCGAAAAGTTCCCAATCTCATAACATAGCTTATCTAATTTGTTATGTTTCTTGTAATATCATCTCATATAAGGAACCCGATTAGAATGCATATCAATCTTGAATATCCTTACGTCATTGAAATTTTCTTATCTTGTATCTATGCACTTCAAACAGATGAACGCACAGAAGTAAGTGGTAATGTATGAGTGCCTTGGAAAGATAATACGAGTTATAATTATGTAAAAGTGAACAACATTGGATATGAAGTTAAAGGTCATTTATTAATACAAAGTACTTAATTGATACTGATCTTCTTTGGTTCAGATTCAGGGGCGTGTCTCGAATATCTCAGAGTGAGCAATCCATCAGTGTAGGAAGCATGGATATTGTCTTCTGTGACATGCTCTGGGAGTTTCCATGTCCGGCTAGCGATCGATGATGACCGACTCTCATTGATCAAGTAGCTGAATCCGTTATCTTTGTCTTCTTCAGCTGGATGAGTAGCCTTCACAGTTATTTTATGGTCATGTATTGATATATCCAATTCCTCCTTCTTGTATCCTGCAAGGTTCAATCTTGCTTCATATGAATTTTCATATTCTAACAAATCAAGGCGTGGTTTAGACGTCGAAGGTGCTGTATTAACGTGTTTTCTTGGTGCAGCCTCCTCAATGAAGAATTCAATTGGGAATTCAAAGTTGCTTGGTTGGTTGTAGAAGATTGTCATTGTGTGTTTAAGACTACTAGTTAAGTGTGTTTGAGAAGTTGCTTTGTTAGTTTGTTGTTGATGGTAGACAACTGAGATACAACCTCAGCTTATATAGTCATCTACATTTCCTAGAGACTTCTGGTAGATTCACTCTCTATCCTCTTCCAGAATGTGATGGAAAATTACCAAATGAAGGTAGAATATTCAAGCAAACATTCAAGTAGCGCAACTTTGTGTATCCTTGATGACCTAGATGTCCATATATGAAAAATTTCGCAAAACCGTATGTCAATCAACTAAGTTAAAATTGTATAATCACATAAGTCAAAGAAAGACGTAAAAATCGAATTGAATAATTAAAATGTCAACGGTAAATGGCGAGAGAAAGATCATCTAATCCATGATTTGGTCTATATACTTATCTATGGGAACGTGAAAAATATCGTAAGAAAGGCATTCAGCACTAGTTATTTTCTTATGTTTATGCCGCATGTTCAATGTGCTGAGATACCTTAGACTTTTCATCTCTAACTTGATGACGAATTTGGGTGGTTTCACGTTCACTTGCCAATGTTTGAGCAAATTTAGATCTGCGACGAACTTCCGGCCCATAGAAGTAGAGTAAGTGGATTGGAATAATGAGTACGACGGCCATACAAGCCAAGATCGTTGATGGATACTCGAGTGTGTAATTAGGGAAGTGCTCATAAAATGGTCCTGCATACATTGCAGCAATACCAGCGAGTAAATCTCTAAAAGGAAGAGTTAGTATTCAATTAGTCTTATAATGCGCTATCGACCTACCTAGCAAATCCGTTACCACCAGTGGCGGAAGAAGAATATGGACCTTTTGAAATGTGTTAGTCAAATATAACTAACTAGCTATACAACTCACCATATGCTGCAACCATGTAATCAATTGTTGCCATGTAAATAGCATAGTTTGCAATACCAATCAAAGCAGAAAAGAACATTGGACCGAACCAGTGATTATGTTCCGGACCCATACTTGTCCACGCGAAACCAAACAATCCGATAGCTTCAAGAGGTGCAGTCCACAAGAGCCAATAAAGACGTTCTTCTGGAGGTACAATTTCACCACGTTTCCTTCTCAATTCCGATTTTCTGAAGAATGGCAAGAAGGACACCCATCCTAAGCAATATGCGATTGCAATAGGAATGAATGCAAGAGCGATCCCGAAAGGTTGGAAACCCCATTGTGAATATACCGGGTTGAAAGCGTCCAAGAAGATGAAAATAAGCATGTCCGAGAAACCAGAAAGTAGGGAACAAGATAAAACGATTGGTTCGCGCAAAAACATCTCAAATGGTCTGTACCAAATAACCAACACTTCTCTAAATGACAGACCCCTTTTTGAGATTTCATTTGGACCCCAGATGTTTAATTCCTTGCCTTCTTTGGCTGCTTGCTTACGCCTTCTCTTGGCTTCTTTGTCAAGAAGAATAGACGATCCTTAAAACATGAGATGAAAAGTTGTTGGAGAAAACTATCACCCACTTGTCTCTGGAATAGTCCAGTGCAAAATTTGAGCAAAACCGCCGAAAATCAATTGTGTCCAAAAAACCCATCTAGAATTCATTATGAGAATATGATAATGACAATTAGTAATATTACTTACCTCCATGCTGGCTCTGGTTTGGCGAATTGTTGGATGAAACCACCAACTGAGACATCAAGTTAGCAATGTCTGGCATACTTTAAAGTCGTAACGTACGGATTGGTCCAAGGACAGAGCCTCCTACACTACTCCAACTAGAATGAAGTCAGTATGACGAATCAAATACGTTTGGTCAAACTCACACGACATAAGCGAGACCGTATTGTTGTGTTTCAGGTGTAAATAAATCGGCAACCAAACCTAGCGTTACACTACCACCAGCCGATGAAATACCACCCAAGAAACGACCCACGACCATAGAGCCGAAGTTTGGTGCTAACGAGCAAAGGAGAGCCCAACAATTAACTAAAAAGAGTGAAAGTTGAAGGATTGGCCATCTTCCGTATTCTTCTGACCATCTAAAGTGCGTTAGTTTTGTTTATGTCTCAGAAGAAAATATTTACGGTGCCCAGAGTTCACAACCTGAGATTGTTTGTTAGAGCGATATGAAAATACAGTAAATCTGACTCACCGAAAGCGTAAGCGACCAGGAAAATCATTTGACCAACTCTAGCTGCTTGTGAGGAGATACCCCATTCTTCTGTCATGCCATCGACTGCGTTTGCGTAGACTGTAATAATTAGCAAATGCATGATTATAGAGCAATGTATACCTACTAGCCGCGTTGTAGTTCATAGAATATTGAACGATGACGATAACAGTAAGGATCGCCCATTTCTTCTTGCTTGAGAAAGAAACCCCTACGCATTCAGGTGCAGCATCTTCTGTTAACTCAATTTTACCTTCCGCTGATTTCTTCTCAAAATAGAGCTCATTCGAGTGATCGTTACTACTACTTGGTTGTGTAGCTGACGTTTTCTCATCCACAGGTGTAGTGGTTGCGTCCAACTCTTGGAAACGTTTGGCTTGTGTGGCCATTCTATGTGTATATAAAGTGGATAAAGAAGGAGTAAATCGTTCCTCTTAATCGGGTGTGGAGAAGTGGATCAGCTGACGAAATTGTAACTTATTCCAGATTATTCAATCAGAAAAATTAGCGCCGGTTTTGATCAGTTACTACCAAATTAGGAATTTCCTTTTAAAGTAATTATATTTTTTTTTGGTACAAAGAACTCCACAGCAATATAATTTCGGAGAAACAGACGCACCATCGTACTCCACGGAGTGTCCGTTTATACGTATAATAACATCAGCTTCTATTGTCTTGTACAGAACGGATTCGGGCTATGAAGTGTATTTACCTTATATGCATATGACCCAATTTAAAACACACCCTGCCCAGCCGAATTTCGTCCGGTTGCGAAGGCGCGCCGAGGAGAGAAAATCACTATGGGATCACGTAACAAAAATTATAATCCTTACTAAATGTGCGTCACCTAAGAAAAGCAAGCCCTAAAAAAGTGGCAAGTGATCAAGCATCTGTATCATACGCTCAGACACCTTTCTATGAGTAAGGTGTATTTTACAGACGAGAATTTCCTCAAATCTAATGCACAAAGGAAATGTTATGAGTATACACATATGTATGATTAGCGTGTGTTCGAAGACATAGGGAGAACTTGATTTTATGTCACGATGTGAGGTCTCGATACTCAGTTGTAAAGATGACATAGACATGTCTGAAGATAGAAAGTATCTTATCCGGTTATGACAGCAGTGATCTGCAGATCATCCAGATTTCTTACTAAGGTTGTCTGAGTTCATCACCCGCCTTCCCCAGTTTTTATAGGCAATTGCAATACTAGAAAAGCTGAAGCTTATAAATAAATTATGGTTATTTCGAATGCATATTAGATAACAACTCTAATCCCTTATCTAAAAAGCTGTAATCTGATTGGCTCAGCCGCTGTCATTGAAATCCAAGCGAGAATTTCATTCCTGACTCTATTTGATTCACATCTGAGATGAGAACGACGGCATTTATACCAAAGTAAGGACTTCTATTTTCTTGAGAAAGGAAGATTTCCTAATATGTTATCCCCAGAGATATGTGCTTTCAAGTGGAGTGCAACAATTGTGGTAAACAAACCTGGAGTGGATGCGGTTTACACAAAAATGCTGTAAGTTGGAGATACTAGGGTGGTCATTTACTCTAACCAACCATATAGGTCATGGATAACATACCAAAAGAGGACCGCTGTGGTTGTCCAAGATAGAGCATTTATTTAGTTATAATCTTATTCATATTCACATTTACATTCACATCTTCATTTGTTACGTCCATGGTGTCATTTTGATAAGGTTCATGAGAGTGCTAAGTTGGAATATAAACGGAATACGAAGGATATTAGGGAATTATAAATCATGTGAGGAATTTGTGAGAGGCTTAGAAGCAGATATTGTATGCTTTCAGGGTGCGTTGATTTTATCTGAGATTACAATCCAACGCGTTCTACAGAGACAAAGGCGTTTAAGAGCGCTCTTGGTGCATCTCAAGTATCCTTTGATACTTTTCAATCTTATTGGTCCTTTTGCCACTCAAATAGGTCTTATTCAGGTGTATGCGTTTATAGCAAAGAAACACCATTAGCAGTCGAGGAAGGGTTAAGTGGAGGGTACACAACATTCTCAGTATCGATACCGCAGCTGTCAGATGAGGATAAATTGAAACCGCTCGCTAATATACATAGTTATAATCAAGAAACGCTACTGGGACAGAATTATCATCCAGACTTTACCAATGTAAAGCAATTAGACACTGAAGGTAGAGCACTTTGTCTCGACTACGGCATGTTTGTCTTGATAAACGTCTATTGCCCTGCTGAAGGTGATGAATCGAGGGTGAAATTCAAGAAATCATTCCACGAATTACTCTTTGAGCGTATTAGAATATTGAAAGAGGGTGGACGTCAGATCATTCTATTAGGTGACATAAATATTGCACATAGAGCGATAGACCATTGTGATGGTTTAGAATTAACTCGTACTGACATAGGTAAGATGGAATTTGAGACTAAATATACTCGCCAATGGATGGACAAATTAGTTAGCGATGATAACTCACCTTTAGTCGACATAATGAGATTATTTCATCCAACAAGAGAGGGTATGTTTACCTGCTGGAACCAACTCATTAACGCTCGACCATCAAACTATGGCACCAGAATAGACTATGTTCTAATAACACCAGGATTAATACCTTGGGTTAAAGAGGCTGATATTGCACCGAGCGTGTACAATTCCGACCATTGTCCGGTGTTTATCGATTTACATGATAGTATACCAGACCCACATGATGACACCAAGGTTTTACATTTGAAGGATTACTTGAGTAAACCTAAAGGGGCAGCTTTACCACCATTATGTGCGTCAAACTGGGATGAATTCAATGGGAAACAAACATCACTATCATCTTTCTTTCAACCGGGAATTAAAAAGATTTCACCTTCGCGATCCCTGTCGAGATCAACCACACCTAAAAACCATCGGGATCAACCACAAATAGAATCATTCTTTCAGCCTCGTGGAAGAACTAATTCTGGAGATCATAACAATCCTGCAAACCCGACGAAAAAGCAGAAAGTGGACAACGATAAAACAATCAAGTCAGCTTGGAAAGCTTTGATGGCACCAAAGAGGGTGCCAAAATGTAAAGTACACAACGAAGATTGCAGAGAATACACTGTAAACAAACCTGGTCCAAATAAGGGTAAGAAATTTTGGTTGTGTAGTCGTAACGTTGGGCCTGGATATGATGCCGGAGGATCTAAACGTAATAGGGCTGATGTTGATAGTCGTTACAGATGTAATTTCTTTGTGAGTGTTTAATATATTGATATTTATTCTAACACAGTCATAGGTTTGGTCATCACATTTAGAGCGTGATATGAGTGGTATAGAAGATTATAAGAGTGATAAACAATAGAAAATAATTTGTTGTAAAAAATGATTGAAAATTATTTATTTAATATTTATGACGCAATAACTTTCTATTCAAAACATTGATGATTAGAGAAGTAAAAGTAGAGAAATATCTGAATAAGAAAACGAAAGATGAGGAATATATAGTCTATAAATTGAGAGTGAATGATAGTGTATTAGATAAGAGATTCACAGACTTTTACAATTTAGATAGAGAGTTGAGGCAATTGGATAGTAAATTGATCAAAATACCCGGGAAATCAATATTTAAAAATGAGAAAGTTCTGAATGATAGAGTTACTGGATTTAATAATTATTTAAATTTTATTATCTCATCAAAAAACCCCGTTTGGAGGGATAGTAAGCAATTCAGAGATTTTATTAGAGTTGAGAATGATGTCATGAACTGGAATGACCAGCAATTGGAATTGACGAATAAAATAAAGAAATTGAAATCAATAATTTATAAAAGGGATAACAATTTCAATAAGCTGTTGATTGAGTGTTTAACAATGATGAAAGCTTTACAAAGTAGAATAAATGAGAAGATAAAGAATCCTAATGAACTAAACAAGAGAAAAGACTTGTTGATGAAAAACTCGGATGAAATTGACATCATTCAATTAATGATAAAAGATAATTTATCTTCAACAAAGATATCACCTGTGAAACCGACAACAAAAGTACAGTCGTTTGGTAGTAAAAATAACGCAGAACTTAAGGAATTACAAGTACAAGAGATAGCCAATCAAGATAAGCAATTAGAATCACTTTCTAATAAGTTACATTTACAATTAAATATCGCATTAACGATAAATCAAGAAATAGAAGAACAAAATGAGTTATTAGATAATTTCTCTAATAGTCTAGATAATACTTCTAATAAATTAAAAAATGTAAACAAACAAATAAAATAATTCTTTCGTTATTAACCAACCATCATCAATTCATTTATAATGAAAAGATTTTTATCAACAGCGACATCAACGTTGAAGACTAAAAATTGTACATCTATTACACCAAATTATGATCACTTATATAATAACCTTCAAACCGTAAAATCAATCTTAGGAAGTTCGACAAAGTTGACGTTAGCTGAGAAGATATTATATTCACATTTAACAAACCCAGAGGATTCATTATCTGGTTATAATTCGAATAACATTAGAGGAAATGCTTATTTAAAGCTCACACCTGATAGAGTTGCGATGCAAGATGCTTCTGCTCAAATGGCTTTATTACAATTTATGACATGTGGATTAGAAACAACAGCTATTCCTTCTTCTATACATTGTGATCACCTTATACAAGCATATGAAGGTGCTGAATCAGATTTAAAAAGATCAATCGTTTCAAATAAAGAAGTTTTCGATTTCTTAGAGAGTGCATCAAAAAAGTATGGTATTGAATTCTGGAAGCCAGGTGCAGGTATCATTCATCAGTTGGTTTTAGAGAATTATGCTGCACCTGGTATGCTCATGCTTGGTACAGATTCACATACACCAAATGCTGGTGGTATGGGTATGTTAGCAATTGGTGTTGGTGGTGCAGATGCAGTTGATGGTATGTCTGGTACACCATGGGAATTAAAAGCACCAAAAGTTATTGGTGTAAAATTAACTGGTCAAATGAATGGATGGACAACACCAAAAGATTTAATTTTACACTTAGCAGGTAAATTAACTGTAAAAGGTGGCACAGGATCTATAATTGAATACTTTGGTCCTGGATTAGATAATCAATCTTGCACAGGTTTGGCCACCATGGCCAATATGGGTGCGGAAGTTGGTGCAACTACATCTACATTCCCATACTCAAACTCAATGAGAGAATACCTTCACGCAACTGCAAGAGGACCAGTTGCAAAAGCGGCTGATGAAATTTCAAAGACCGGATTCTTACAGGCTGATAAGGATGCAGAGTATGACCAAGTTATTGAAATCAACCTTTCAGAGTTGGAGCCACACATTAATGGTCCATTCACACCTGACCTTGCAACACCACTTTCAAAGTTTAAACAAATGGTTCAAGAGAACAACTGGCCTACAAAACTTTCAGCCGGTTTGATTGGTAGTTGCACAAACTCCAGTTACCAAGATATGTCAAGAGTTGAAAGCATAGCTCAGCAAGCCAAGGCAGCTAACAGAGAGGCTGTTGTACCTTTCATGGTTACACCTGGATCTGAGTTGATTAGAGCAACCATAGAGAGAGATGGTGTGCAATCAACATTAGAGAGTGTTGGTGCCACAGTTTTAGCTAATGCATGTGGTCCATGTATTGGTCAATGGGACAGAAGAGAAGCAAAGAATGAGGATAATGGTGAGTTACACTGATTGAGGCGATAACTAAATTTAACACACCTATCCAGCAATTCTCACATCATTCAACAGAAACTTCAAAGCTAGAAATGATGGTAACTTGAAGACGATGAACTTCTTAGCAAGTCCGGAAATTGTTACAGCAATGTCTATAGCAGGATCAATGACATTCAATCCAATGACAGATATACTTCCAGCAAGTGGTAACTCTAAGGAGTTAAAGTTTGAACCACCACATGGTACATTCTTACCAACTGAAGGTTTTATTCCAGGTGACACAACATTCGCACCAGAACCAACACCAGAGCCAATACCAGAAACACCTGTCCAAATTAGTCCATCAAGTACTAGATTAGAGATACTTGAACCATTCAAATCACACTTTGAAAACCCAGAGGAAGCTGGTGAATTACCAAAAATGCAATGTTTAATGAGAGTTAGAGGAAAATGTACAACTGATCATATCTCTGCAGCTGGTCCATGGTTGAAATACAAAGGACATCTTAGCAACATCTCAGAGAACACCCTTATGACGGCCGTTAACGATGAAGATGGCAAGGTCAACTCAGCATATGACTTCCAAGAAAAGACAACATCAACTATACCAGATATTGCCAAACGCTACAGAGAGCGTCAACAACCATGGATGATCGTCGTCGATGAGAATTATGGTGAAGGTAGTGCACGTGAGCACGCCGCTATGCAACCTCGTTGGTTAGGTTGCTGCGTTGTACTTGGTAGATCACTCGCAAGAATTCATGAAACAAACATAAAGAAGCAAGGATTCGTACCACTCACATTCAAGAATAAGGAAGATTACAACAAGATTGACGCAGGTGATCAAGTTGAAACCGTTGGTTTGAAGGGACTCTTTGCAGGTGATTTGAACACTCCAGTTAGTGTCAAGGTAACCAAAAAGGATGGAAGTGTTTTAGATATTCCAGTAAATCACACTTTATCTGTCGATCAACTCAACTGGGTGAGACACGGTAGTGCACTCAACGCGATCGCAGCAGCAGCAGCAGCAAAATAAGTTTTTAAAATTGACAGGCATTATTTTTTTTATTGGATTAATTGTAGATAAAAGCATATAGAAAACAAAAAACATAAAATTTTCATTTCTTCATAGTAAACTTTTGATAGCTTGCGGGAGAAATTTAATCTGAAGTAGCGGCGTTAGCTTTTTGGCGTAAATCGTCAGCTGTGAAAGAACCTCTTGGTTGTGTCTTGTTCTTTGAGAAGAGGACAGGACGGAGAACATTCAAGTAGAGTGTCTTAGCACCCTTTGTTTGTGGGAGCATGAGCCAAGCAGTGAATCCGATCCTACGGGTATAGTTGTTAGTGAAATAGTCAAAAAGAGATGACGTACTTGAAAAGGTAGTAGAATGGGAAGTAAGTGACGATATTTACTAAGCTCTCTGCAAAAGTGAAGAAAGAGAAGACGACAAAGTAGGTGAGCCATTGGATGTCATCGTCATGGCCAGGTGATTCAATAGCAAGGAAAGCGTAGTAAGCTGGTACAGCGAAACCAATGAGGTTGCTGATGAATGAAGCACCCTAATAATAATTAATAAAGCAGATAAAAACGCTTCTGCTGGGACTCACAATGTTGAAAAAGACGAAAAGGAAAAGCAATAAAGCTAAACCAGGTACAACGTAGGCTTTTGGAACGCCGAGTTGTGATTCAATCTAGTTGTTTGCTTTGTTAGGGAGTTAATTTCTAATTAATAATGAGGTCGCACCTTTGCGAGTTGTGGATAAGCTGCAAGCTGTGATTCGTCATGTTATAAAGGGGTGTAATAAAGCAAAATATAACTACACACCTGCTTGTCAACCTGTAATGAAGTTATGAGAGTCTATCGTGTGGGTAGACGGGGTACCTACTTGGCCAACGTAGTAGTTTAACTGAATAAATTAATTTTTATCGAATTACGAACTATCTCTTTTACTCACTTTAGCTTGGATGTCTGCTGCTGAAGCCATTATTTTTTAAAGTAATTCGACGTTCTGATGAAAGACCTGAGAGTGATTACGAGTGATTACGTTCAGCTGAGGATAGTCACTCTATAGGATATGGCTAGAAGGGTGTCAGAGGATAATTTAATTAATTAAGTTATAAACGGTCATATATACAAGAAATGAATGAAAAAGTTAACGAAATCGTCATAGAGTGACACTTAAATAGAAAGTAACTTTAATGAATAAATAATAATGATATATTCATTATAATAGTTTATATTGTATAGTTATTTTAAAGAATAATTTATTTGTTCAAATTTTATAAAATCTGCGATTATAAGAATTTACGCTCCCAGAAGATTGCTCCTTGTCGATTGACGATAAAGTGAGCGAAGGACGACACAAACATGCAAGTTTTTGTTAAGGTGTGTTCTCTACTAAATTAATAGCGACTTTGCTCATCCTTCCCTAGACGCTCACCGGTAAGACTATAACCCTCGAGGTTGAGTCTCAAGACACCATTGACAATGTCAAGACCAAGATCCAAGATAAGGAAGGTATTCCTCCAGACCAGCAACGTTTGATCTTTGCTGGTAAGCAACTCGAGGATGGCCGTACTCTCTCAGACTACAACATCCAAAAGGAGTCTACCCTCCACTTGGTCTTGCGTCTCCGTGGTGGTGGTAAGAAGCGTAAGAAGAAGGTTTACACCACCCCAAAGAAGATCAAGCACAAGCGCCGTAAAGTTAAGATGTCAATCTTGAAGTACTACAAGGTTGAATCTGACGGTAAGGTCAAGCGTCTTCGCAGAGAGTGCCCAGCTCCAGAATGTGGTGCTGGTGTCTTCATGGCATGGCACCACGACCGTCAATACTGCGGTAAATGCGGTCTTACCTACACTTTCGAGCCAGGTACTAAGCCACCAGCATAAATTCTTTAAAAATAAATTAATTTTTTATGTTGCGATCTTTTCGTCTGCTTTTCCCTTTTCCCTTACTACTATCAATATGCCACTCGGCTATCGTATGCCAGCACGCTTGAGGCGTAAAGCAGGTCAGACGTTGTCATGGGTAGAACCTTTAGCAACGTCTTTCCCTAGTAGAGGTGGTAGATCCTTCAGATTCTCTGCTAGAAGATGGACTGGATATAAAAATGCTGATCAGAAGGATGAGCAATTTAGACAGAAGTTACCTTTAGGATGTTTGTTATAGGTTTATCAACAATTTTATTCACTAATATACCCTTTTAGATCGTCTGAAAATGGCTTGGAAGGATACTCCAACAAAGTGGTACCCTTTACCAATTGGGATCGGCGCAGTTTTGATTGCATTCTTATCAATAAAGAATCGCAAGTTTAGTGATGAACCACATGTCGTTTTCGATGGTCAATCAATGAAATTACAGGGTCCTTGGCAGGTGAGTTTATGTCTCACACTTCTACACAGAAGTTTTGACATCCTCGTTGGTACACGTTATCGGCGCTTTACCACTTAGACAATTATCTAGATTATGGGGTTACGTTAACTCATTTGAGATACCAATTTGGGCGAGACCAACCGGTTTTAAACTTTATAGTTGGTTATTTGGTTGCAATTTAGATGAAATTTCACCTGAAGATCTTACTTTATATCCAAGTTTAGGCGTTTTCTTTTATCGTAAATTGAAACCAGGTGTACGTCCAATCGCGGATTCCTCTTTAGTTTCACCTGCAGACGGTACTTTATTACATTTTGGATCAATTGAAAATGAACAAGTTGAACAAGTTAAAGGTGTAACCTACAGTTTAGACGCTTTACTTGGTTTGTCAAACTTATCAAAACCTTCAGATCTAATACCGTTCAATAATGAAAACGAAGAACATGAACACGTTGCACATACTGACTTTGCAAACGTTAACGGTATTGAGTATAGTTTAGATCAATTGCTGGGAGAGCAAGAAAAGGAAGGTTCAACCCAGGATGCTGCTATTGAACATGATTTAAGTGCAGCTGCTATATCACATGATGCAAAGGTCGCAAAAGAGTTAGGTGAACAAGCTGTACAGATGAATAATTTCAAAAAGAGTTATCCAGCTGTTAAACCCGGTAATAAACTATTCTTCAGTGTCATCTATTTAGCACCAGGTGATTATCATAGATTCCATAGTCCAACTGCATGGGTAGCAGAAAAACGCAGACACTTTGCAGGTGACCTATTTAGTGTATCACCTTGGATGGCGAAGAGGTTACAAAATCTGTTTGTTTTAAATGAAAGAGTAGCTTTATTAGGTAGATGGAGACATGGATTTTTCAGTATGACACCTGTTGGTGCAACTAACGTAGGTTCGATCATACTCAACTTCGATAAAGACCTCCGAACGAATGTTGGTAGACGACCACCACGTACAGGAGCATATAAAGAGGCTAGTTATGAGAACGCATCTAGAGTATTAAAAGGACAGCCATTACAACCTGGTGAAGAAATTGGTGGATTTTGCTTAGGTTCAACAATTGTGTTGGTGTTTGAAGCGCCAAAGGACTATAAATTTAGAGGCAAACCAGGTGATAAATTAAAAATGGGTGAATCAATGTTAATATAAAGACGTTTTTGTAACACTAAATTCTTCTCTTTTTGACGTTATCATATGGGTTTAGCATTTTCGAGTATTTTGAGTATATTCTCTAAGAAGGAGTATAAATTAGTCGTTATAGGATTAGATAACGCGGGTAAAACGACGATATTATATAGAGTAACGCAGGTGTGTATGATCAGATGATATGCATCCGTCTGACAGACAGCAGGGCGAAGTTATAGCGACAGCGCCAACGGTTGGTAGTAATTTAGAGCAATTTGAATACAAGAATCTAAAGTTCGCACTCTGGGATATCGGCGGTCAGCAGCAACTAAGGTCGACCTGGTCTGCGTATTATAATCAAGCGAAAGCGGTAATATTAGTAGTAGACAGCTGTGAACCGGATAGGTTGAATGTCGTTAAAGAGGAACTCCATAGAGCATGTCAGGATGAGCAACTGAAAGATGCACTGCTTTTGGTATGGGCTAATAAGCAGGACCGTAAGGTGAGATATACCGGTAATAGAAAATAACTGCTAATATAAACTCAGGATCAAGCTAGCACTCCAGCTGAGATATCCTCTAAGCTAGAACTCACTGCTCTCAAGGATAGACAGTGGTCCATCTTCCCGTGCTCTGCACTCACGGGCGATGGGCTATCAGAAGGTTTAGATTGGCTTACAGAGCGTATAAGTTAGAATATTAATAATTAATGTACTTTTATAAATCACGTATTTTATTAGATTATATTTCTTGCTTCCACTCTACCATGTCAGCAGTTGACACCTTAAATACAGCGCCTGCAGCGCCACCCACACCACAGGAAGTCCATAGAAAACTTAGTATGACATCTGCACCACCAAAATCTGATGACAATTTGAATGACAGCTTCAAGAAATCTCAAAGGAGGCTCTCACAATCTATACTTGAACCCCTACAGGACAGCCCACCGAGTCCAACGTTCTCTAAGCATCCTTATTTGTCAGCTGACGATGAAGCTGAGGGCGATTTAGTTAGCGAAGATGAAGCTAGTGTCAGTGGTACTAATATGGCAACTCAAGTAAACACCTCAAGTGAACCTCCAATAAATGAGGATAATATACTAAGGAACGGTTACCTTGAAAAGAAAGGTGGTGGTCACCGTAAGCGTTGGAAAACGAGATGGTTTGTTTTGAGACCAACTAAGTTGGCGATTTATAAATCAGATAAGGTATGCTCATTCTCTTTTTAAGCCACATTTCCTAATTGTCTTTATTAGGAATATAGATTACTTCGCTTAATTGATGTCAACGTCATTCACACTTGCGTAGAGGTTGATGTTGGTAAGAAGCATCAAAATGTCTTCGGTTTAGTTACTCCTGACAGAATTTTCTATTTAAAAGCAATCTCTCGTGCAGATATGGAGTCTTGGATCGAAGCTATCAACCTTGCACGTAAACTTATGCGCGATCAATTAAGTCTACAAACTAGTTTTCCTCATAATGATGAATCAACCACTCAACTTTCTCCAATTAATATCCCAGTTTCACCTTCAGTGCATAGACGCACTTCTTTATCTTCAACTCAAGCTTCACCTCATCGTGTTGATAGACCTTTTGAACAAAGCGGTTTTAGTTTACCGACTGATGGTGGTGAATCACCTAATGATAGGGATTCAAGTGATGATGATGATGACTACCATGGTATACTATCACCAACTGATCCAAATAAAGTCATTCTAACCGGTTATCTTATGAAACTAAGTAAAAGAAAGGCTTGGAGGAAACGTTATTGGATACTTACATCTGATAAATTGAGTTATGCCCGTTCACATATGGATAAACCCCAACGACATATTCCACTGTCGAAGATATTAGACTCTTTGGAAGCCGAAGAACATGTAAGCTCCCCAGAGGGCACAGAGCAGAGAGAACATAAATTCAAAGTTTTAACCGTCAAGAGAACTTTTATTTTGTCCGCTCAATCGGAGGAAGAAGAAATAAGGTGGTTATCTGCTCTTCAAACTTTACTTGCACATAAGAGAGGTTTGCCGGTTAGCGATATAACCGCATCGCCTATGTCTTCTGCGAACAATCCACAATATTTGGGTCCACCGCCACCTCATGTGACTACCCAACCACCGACACCTCAAACACATAAACTTGTTGACGTTCCAGAAGAAGAATCAAGCGCTGAAGTTCTAGTTAATGAGGAAGATCAAGATGATAATAATAACACGAGACATAAGAGAACGAGAAGTGGCACGGTTGAAGCCAGAGCCGCCGTTGATGCTGTAACAAAAAGATATCACCCAGAAGATAAAGATAAAGGAAATTAATGGACTAATAATAATTACTTACTTGATACTTGTATTTTGCTCTATGTACTTTTTTACTTTAATACTCTCTTCTTGGTTTCTCTTATCATCATTAGTGTTATGTTTAGAAGTTGTTTACGAGGGGGATTAAGGAACAGTCAGAGTAATATAAGGTTTAATATACATCTAAATAGGTTATATAGTCAAAATAACCTACACAATAAGCAGCGTGAGGTATTTAAGCAGAGAAACAAATCTTTGATGTACTATTCAGCAGCTACTGTAAGTGATATACATCTCATAAATTGATAAATCTTAATCAGGATAGGTACTATTTGTATTAGGTGCTAGTTACGCTGCTGTACCAATGTATAGAGCTTTCTGTTCTGCGACTGGATTCGCAGGTACACCAATGACAGATCCAAGTAGATATACTGCAGATAGACTTATACCAACAGAGGAGAGTGCTTCCAATAAGAGGATTACGGTAAAGTTCGCCGCTGAAGCTAGCGATATGTTACCTTGGAAGTTTACACCACAACAAAAAGAAATCAAGGTTTTACCAGGAGAGAGTGCATTAGCATTTTATACAGCTACTAATAAATCTGATGAAGATATCATTGGTATTGCTACGTATAACGTCACACCAGGGAAAGTAAGTAAGAAACTTAGAATTAACTAATTTAAGTTGATCATTAAACATAGATTGCACCATATTTTGCGAAAGTTGAATGTTTCTGCTTTGAAGAGCAGCGTTTATTAGCGGGTGAAACGGTAGATTTACCAATTTTGTTCTTTATAGACAAAGACTTCCTTGATGATCCGTCAATGAGAGGTGTAGATGATGTGGTACTTAATTATGTATTCTTCAAAGCCAAGCATGATAGACGTGGTCAACTCATACCCGTCGGTGTACAAGAAGGCGTTGATGTTCATGATATTTCAACTCCTAATATTGTTAAATAGATAGATTTCAGAAATTTATAATAATAATACATTAAAATGCTAAACATAACTTACTAATGAGTGATAAAAAAAGATGAGTGAGAAAGAGTTTAAGCCAGTCCTTTACGAGCTTTGCGTGTTGAGAGATGCACTACGTGATCGCCTTGAATGCTTTTCCATTTCAATAATGTTGGTTAAAGCATCCCTAACGAAAGTTACGTTATAATCGATTGATTGTTTAAACCTGTCATACGTATCACTCTTAATAAAAGCAATTAATATGAGGTTTTCATGAATTTGCCATTTTGATATTGTGATATTATTAGCAAGTCTGATGCTAGCCATCGCAGGTTCAATATACTGCCCGGATGTTTCATCATTATTTTCTATTGTTGGTTTGTATAACTTTGAAAATCTATCAAAAGTATCAAGTGCATCAACACATACTTCAAAAGTAGATGCATCTGCAATAGTTGCGTCTGTAGCAAAATATAATCTACTATTTTGCTCGAATATGAATGACTTTGCAATACCAGAATTAGCGCAAAAGACGTTTAATAAGTTTTGAATAACAGGTAATTGTCTTGTTAACTTTTGTACTACTTTACTAAACGCGTCTAATATTGAGTAATCAAATATACTTGTCAAATGATAACTTAATTGTACGACATTATCGAGGTTACTATCTGATAAATCATCGAGAACCTTTGATTGTATATCCCTCAAAGTTTCTAACTTGTATTCATCAGATAAACCATCGACTTTATGAACGAATACTTCAATCTTTACTCTTTGATTTGCATTATATGCACGTATAATGATTTGATGTAATTGGTGCAACGCTCTAGTGTAATCATCTTGAGCGTCGATTACGAAAACAAGTGTAGATAGTTGTGATAAATCTATACCGAGTAGGTCTAAGTTTGCGTGTCCTGGTATATCCCATAATTGTAATGCGACGAATGAGCTATTAGTAAGTAAGATATAGAACATAAATAGAGACATATATGATAACCTACTCAACGTTATGTATTACGGATCTTATATTATTCTCTAAATACAGTGTATCCTTCGCTGGCATACCTGTAAATACGACCCTCTGTATTGAGGTTTTACCAGATCTTTTAAACAATTAAATTGTGTATATAAATGAGATAGCTATATTCTCACCTCCTCAATCCCGCTAACAATACTTTCTTACGCAGGATATCCTCATTTTCCATCTCACTGCTTGACGTTCAAGAGCAAAGAGAGATGGATAAGCTCAAGAACTCTGGAACAATAAAGAGGGCTACTAATGCTTTCAATAAGGATACTAGCAAAGATGGAGCTGTAATTAGTCAACAAACTAACGTGAGCTTATTATTATATAGAGATCTCGTTTGACGCAGTTTAGATGCGTGGTTTAACGCAATATATAGCAGATTTAAGAGCCTGTAGGATTAGGGAGCTAGAGGAAAAGCGTATAAATAGGGAATTGGCTCATATCAGACAGCGATTTAAGGGTAAGTGCGTTACTCAAGAGAAGACAACAATCTGATATAATATTTAGAAGGCGATATGACTGGCTATCAAAAGCGTAAATACGTCGCAAAGATTTTGTTCACTTATATACTTGGTTATAAAGTTGATATCGGTCATATGGAAGCTGTAAACCTCATTTCAAGTACACGTTATTCAGAGAAACAGATGGGATATCTTGCATTAACGCTGCTTTTACATGAGAACAGTGAACTCACACGACTTGTGATTAACTCTATACGCAAAGATCTTGACGATATGAATGAAGTAAATAACTGTTTGGCATTACACGCAATAGCCAACATCGGTGGTATGGAAATGGCAGAAACATTATCGGAAGACGTACATCGCTCTTTAATTTCGCCAACATCAACTTCCTTTGTCAAGAAAAAGGCAGCTCTTACACTTCTCAGATTGTATAGAAAATATCCTGATATCGTTCCAGTTAGAGAATGGGCTTTGCGAATCGTTAGCGTTATGGATGATGAGAACTTAGGTGTTAGTTTGGCGGTTACATCACTTATCATGACACTCTCACAAAATGATCCTGACGCGTTCGCAATTTGTTATCCGAAAGCTGTTGATAGGTTAACCAAAATCATAATCGAAAAGAAATACACTGGTGATTACCTTTATTACAAAGTACCATCACCTTGGCTCCAAGTGAAGTTGCTTCGTTTGTTGCAATACTATCCTCCTTCTGAAGACCCAGCGATAAGGCTAGCCATTAACAATGTCCTCAATGCCATTTTATTGAATTCGCAAGATATACCAAAGAACGTACAACACGCCAATGCTCAAAATGCTGTTTTATTCGAGGCAATTAACTTATCCATACATTTAGATACAGATTCATCCATAGTTAACGCAGCTAGTGTCCTACTCGGGAAATTCATCATGAGCAAGGAGACCAACGTTAGATACCTCGGTTTAGACACCATGGCTCATCTTGCTGCTTGTGCAGACTCACTTGAGCCTATTAAACGTCATCAAAATACCATCCTTATGGCCTTAAAGGATAAAGATATAAGTGTTAGGAAGAGAGGCCTCGATTTGTTATTCAGTATGTGCGATACCATCAATGCCAAACCAATCACTGCTGAATTACTTGCCTATCTTCAAAATGCTGATTACGGTTTGCGTGGTGAAATGACTCTCAAAATTGCAATTTTGACAGAGAAGTTCGCAACTGATGTGCGTGTTAGTTATTTCTAAAAATGTCATTGCTAACGTAACACAGTATAAATGGTATATTGACACCATTCTTCGCCTCATACAGATTGCTGGTGAGCATGTCGGCAATGAAGTTTGGTACAGAGTCATTCAAATTGTTACGAACACGGAAAGTTTACAACAATACTCTGCTCACACGGTATTTTCATTCCTCAGACAACCATCTTGTCCGGAAAATCTCGTTAAAGTCGGAGCATACATTCTTGGTGAATTTGGTCATCTCATCGCTGATAATCCAGGCTGTTCACCGATTGAACAGTTCAACATAATTCACCTGAAGTCAAACTTTTGTTCAGCATCAACACGTGCTCTGTTGCTCACAACTTATATCAAATGGGTGAATCTATTTCCTGAAATAAAAGACATTCTGGTCAATGTATTTGACAAATATAGGTATGTTCTCGATTCGGAATTGCAACAAAGAGCCAGTGAATATTACGCACTTGCAACTCGTGAAGATGGCGATCAATTGTTGCAAATTGTATGTGATGAAATGCCACCATTCCCTGAACGTGAAAGTGCTCTTCTTACGTCTCTCGACCGTAAGCATGGCGATACTCAAGATTCAAGAACCTGGATTATTGGTGGTAAAGATGCAAATCGTGATAGAAATGTTGTACGCGCTAAATCACTCAATAAGAAGGCTCAAGGAGGCATATTATCACGTGGTTCAGTTCTTTCGCCAACATTTACCGGAAGTACTGGGACTATGGAAGCACAGCCTACTGGCCAATCTGGTCAAAATGACCAACTACTCTCTCCTCAAGGTACGCAAAATGATGACTTCGTTGCACCACTACCAGAAAAGACAACATCGGGTATTTCATTGAGCGCTGCACCAATTCACATAATTAGGAATGATGCCATTGATAGCGCGTATATGCACTTGTTGTACAACTATGAAGGTGTACTCTACGATTCAGATTTCCTCAAGGTGGTTGTCAGATCGGAATATCAAGGACCCCTTGGAAGGTTAATACTTCAAATTATTAACAAAGTTGCTTCAGCTACTCTTACATCTTTTAGTGCTACCATTGATTCGAGTAATGATGAAGCACTTAACATTACGTTCCCTCAAATCATGTCAAACTCCAAGATTGTCGGTGGTGAGTCTGTAAAGCAATCAGTACACGTAGAGTGCAAAGATGTGTATAGCGAGCCTCCAACTTTACGAATGAGTTACATAGCGGGATCTCATCAGACGCTGGCACTTCGTTTCCCACTTCTTCTATCTAAGTTCCTGGAGCCAGTTGAGTGAGTGCTACATTATTTTATCAGGCATGAATCATTAACACACCCGCAGACTCTCTCAAACAGATTTCTTCGAACGCTGGAAGCAAATTGGTGGTGCACCACGCGAAGCTCAAATTATCTTGCCAATAAATCTCAAATTAGGCAATATAGACACCCAGAAAACCAATGAAATTTTTATAGGTAATAGATTCAGTGTCTTACAAGGTGTCGATCCAAACCCAGAAAATTTTGTGGCAGCAGCTGTACTGCACATGTCAACATCAGGCAAAGTGGGTTGCTTAGTGAGATATGAACCAAATAAAGATGCAAAGGTGAGGATTTTAGTTCTTAATATAGAACTCTCGTTTAACGCACATTACACAGCTTGCTCGCTTAACTTTGCGAACAACTAATGAAGACGTCTCCAGCAAGTTGCTACATGTACTGGAAATGCAGTTAACGTCTAAAAAGCATTAATAAATTTAAGTTATATACCTTTATCTTTTTGTAATTAATCGTATAAAAGTCATTGCTGTGTTTTAGGGGCCCATTCAGGCACAATAGGAGTCATTTAATAAGCTGGGAATTATGGTTGGAGACATTCAAGGTGGTTTCGAAAAGATGAAATATACACTTTCTGTCGCAGCTGCTTTGACAGCCGCACAATCAGTTTTGGCTGGCGCACCACCAGATCTTCCATTGGGAAGCAATCTCGACGAATGCTTACGTGCATCAAGCGCTACAGTACTCACATCAGGAGATCAAGCTTATGATAGTGCTAGAGAGACCTACAACTCTCGTACGACATTCTCTCCTCAGTATGTTGTACAGCCAAACTCAGTAGAGGACGTCCAGCATAGTGTTAGAGTGGGTTTATTTATGAATTTAAAGTTAGTTTACGCTAATTTACGTAATTAGTGCGCCACTCAGTACAAATCAGCAATAACTAGTAAATCTGGCGGTCATGGATACGCAGGTAGATTACTATATCAGATGCACGGTACAAATTACTTACACTATCTAGGGTTCGCCATTGGTGGTGAAGATGGAAATGTTACCATCGATATGAGCAATCTCAAGACACTCAACGTAGACGAGAACGGATTAGTACGTGCTGGTACAGGAAACCACCTTGGTGAACTTTATCAGGGTATCTACGATCAAGGTGGATGGTCACTGCCTGGTGGAACTTGTCCACAAGTGGGTATTGGCGGTCACGCATCGTTTGGTGGATATGGTCCACTCTCACGCAAGCTTGGTTTCTTGCTAGACACTATCACAGAAGCTGAAGTCGTGTTCGCTAACGGTACTTCAGCAATTGTCTCAGAAGGTCAAGACGCGTTCTTTGCTGTTACCGGTGCAGCTCCATCATTTGCCGCTGTTACACAATACACTTACCAGGCAACCCCAGCTCCAGAAAATACCGTTACGTTCAAATATGGCATGTACGGTCGTACACTTGAAGAATCTGCTCAAGCGTGAGTTGAAAATTGCTTTTTAGTTTGAATGTGAGCTAACATATCTTATAGCTTCAACGGCTACCAAAATTTCATGAATGGCGATGTTCCAAATGATCTTTACGCTATTGTCACTCTTGGTTCTGATTCATTTGAATTGGCTGGTAACTACTTTGGCAGCCAAGAGGAGTTCAAGGCAATCGTGGAACCTCTCCTTAAAGCTGTAGGTGTGAGAGACACCGACCAACAAGACGTCTCAGAAGATGCAGACTTCATCACAGCACTCACAAAGACCACCGGTGATCTCTCCTCCACGCATGTCGAGCCAGCCAGCTTTTACAGCAAGTCATTAATGACAAATGAGCCTCTCAATATGGACGATGTATACTCTTTCTTTGGATATCTCAAATACGATGCTACCAACGCACAAAATAACGGCTACAGCTGGTACATCATCGTTGATCCATACAATGGTGCCATTCATGATATTTCAACTGATACAAGAAGTTTCGCTCACCGTAACGTACTTCTGGATTTCCAATTTTTCGCTTTCTCTGGCGATGATGAGAAACAATTGTTTGATCTTGTTGACGGGATGGTCACAAGTATAACCACCTCTCCAGAAGCTGCTTATCCAAATTATGTCGATGCTCGTCTCCAGAATTGGCAAAACCTATACTACGGGGAAAACTACAACAGATTACAACGAATCAAGGAACAAGTAGATCCAAACAACACTTTCAGATTCCCTCAATCAAGTATGTATTATTTATTGTATTGGACACTTAGCTAACAAATATCACAGTTGAACTTCCTTAAATTATGAAACGGATATTAAGAACACTTTATATTTAATGAAATGGACACTTGTATATATTTCTTATCTTCGCACATTATCTTTAAGATTTTTGATTAGTTGAATTACTTTACGGGAGCATAATGCCCTAATGTGTGAAGTGAGACACACATAAAATGAAACATAAGTAATTTTATTGGCAGATTAAGCTCGAATATGAACAAGCTATAGAATTCGATCATAAACATACATTGACAGTACTGCAATTAACAGATAATATTCTTAATAACAATACAGCCGGTCCAAACAAGGAATTTCAACAAAAGCAGGAGAATTATATTTCATCAAGCCAATTTATATAAAGCCTCGAACGCCGCAATGGTCGCTCCGTTGAATTCTTATGGCATCACTAACTTTTATTACAACATTATACATTTATTCATTACAATACATACATATGAATAAATACCCCTTGATATTTAATTAGTATTTATTATCGTAGCTGTTCGCTTTTTTTTTTTCACTCTGAGTGCCAACATCATATAATGAGAATTCATACGATTTTATAATTAACGACACTTGATCTTAGAGTTATAATATTATTCTCTTCATTTACTATCTAACGCAAATTTTGTGATTGATCTGCTCACCGACACTCAAGTCACCTTTGCTGCCGGCTCCTCTGCTCTCACAGCAATCAACCATATCTCCAGTATTTATACCATTAGATGTGTAAGGGATACATGTCCTAAGGCGTTCAGTCAGTCGGGTAGTAGATTAATATCAAACCTTACGCTGAAATTTCTTCGAAATGAGCTGATCTAATGTTAGTATATATGTAACAATATATATTATGTTACATACCAGATTGGTCGACGGCCGCACAACAGTCTTTGGTGATTTGATATTCAACACAACCTACTCGTTTATTGAGGCATACTTCTGATCCACCTGCTCTAACATAGGTTACTAATATCGATACTAATGCGAGAAACTTGAGCATTGAACTTAATAAGGGAAAATAACAGCATTACCCCGGGTTTTATACGGTAACATTCTACACAGCTTCGCAAACTTTATTTGTGCATGTGATAAGATCCTGGCTAGAATTTTAAATGTTTACATGTGTAACATAATACCTTAGTGTAAAACCTCTCTAATATACTACTTCGAGATGCGCTGATCAAGATGCGTAAACTAATTAAGTGCTCTTCTTCTTATTTCTCCTTACAAAACATTTACGACAAACATGATATTACTGACATCCGTGAAAAGCTAATGATACAACTTTAAACATACGGTTACCTTCAGGAACGAGGTGTAGTCCAGTTACGCAACGGATGTCCAATCGCTAAAGTTTTAGGATGTAGAAAAATTGCTTGAATGAGTTTCCATAGATTATAGAGTGTAAATTTTGGTCTATTTGCCGTTTTTCTTTCAACCTGTTTGATGACTGTTCCTCTATTTAGAACTGAGACAAAATTAAATATCTGTAAATGCATTGAATGGCTTTGCAACTGCTCATCTGGACCAACTATTTCACAAGTGAAGCAGAAGCAGCAGTCGCAAATACTCAAAAAACTAATTAACGTATGAAATTCACTTGACGCATAGACAGTTGTAAATACCGAAAAACGTTACTCATCATCTGACACTCTAATAAAACTCTTTAATAGAGTCTGTGTCTTGGTTGTGTTTTGATTACTTAAAGTTGAAGTATTTGTAACGAACGTCTACATGTGATTTATCAAGTTAGATCTCAATAGAAGAATAAGGCGAAGGGACATATACAGTTCAAAGGTTTATTAAGCAGGTTAGGATTGTATTCTTATTTCGGCTTATCGGATCAGATAAGGGACGATCTCTTACTTGATAATGTGATCTTATCGGTTGAGCATCGGTCGCCCCGGATCTTTTAAGTGGGCATAAAAAGCAGATTGTCCTTGGGACTTGCTCTTCATCAAATAAATGCTACTCCCAACCGTCGGTCTCGCTGCACTTACAACTGTTGCTTTTGCTGCTACAACTAGATCAAGCTGCAATGACTACGTGCTCATCTCTACGAGAGGCACTGGTGAAGATCAAGGTTTGTCCTAGATTGGGTAATCGATGTGATGCTAACGGTCGAATTTAGGACCATCAATTGGTTTCAAAACGATGATCAGTGATACTCTTGATCAGCTTCCGAACGGTGTAGAATACGACACCGTATACCCAGCTGGGGATGATCAAAACACCACATTAGCGGTAAAGGATATGATAAAGACGATTGATAGTGGTCTTGAGTCATGTCCTGATCAAGTTTACGCTCTACTTGGATATTCACAAGGTGCTACAGCTGTGCTCGACACACTTAATAGCGACAAACTTTCAAATGAAGCGAGAGGCGTAATAGATGCCGTCATTTTGATAGGTAATCCGTACAGACTTCCAACTCAAGAATCGAATGTTGAGGGAATGGGTGCTGATGATGCAGTCGGGGAAGCAAATATTCTCTCTCACAAACCGATTCCAGAAGCATTTGACAAGAGCGGAAAAGTGCTCGATTTCTGCTATACTGTGAGTCGACCATAATTGTCGATACTTGAAAGCTGACGACGAATACAGGATGACTGTGTTTGTAAGGATGCATGCACAGGTGACAAGGAAGGTCACTTGAGATATGGCTCAGACGAGACACTTCAAGAAAAAGCTGCAAAACATCTTGTAAAGTATTTATCTTGAGTAGATAATTAATATATAAAGGATATAGAGATAATGAAAACCAACATATAAATGTGTAAAATCAATTAGATACCCTTCCATGGCCAATTCAGTCTGAGTTTAATCAGGTAACCTTGAATTACGACCGTCATCGTCGCACTAATATACAGAAGGGAGGATTGATGTTCAAATCGATCTATAATTACGCGTTGGCAACATTAATAGCAATATCCCTTTCTCCGTATCATATTTATTTAGGATTAAAATTGGCTAGAAGTTATAAAGAGCCTGAAAGTATTCGTAAAAGTGTAATTGATGAGGTTAATTATGAAATGCTTATTGGAGAACGCTTTTACAATAAAGTTTACTGGAAGTAATATTCAAAACTTATGAAATGCATTGCAATATCTTTTGAATACCGAACATAATTGTACGATTAGGATTCATTAATTTTATGCTACGCGATTGGTTTGTCTGTTGGTAACAACACAAAGCGTGTTATTATTATTGTGTTTAACAATTGTTTGAAGCATAGTTACGCTTTACGCTCTGTTGTCATACGATAAGCATCAGCACTTTGCTGTGCCTTTGGGATAACATATTAATTATCAATAATATGTTAGCAACTGTCTTGATTATGTTCACCATCGGCGTATGTACTAAATGAAGCTTAGTCTCCAACTAAACACTGCCTAATACTGAATCGATTTGAATCCATCGCTAGCGATATAATCGATGATAGTTGTTCTAAAGCTGATTGAACGGCCAAGATTATAGTGTTCATATTGCAAAAAGGGAAGTATACAGCACCTGGTTTACCATAGTCTCTCCCATCGAGAGAAAATGATGTAGTGCTACTTTTTTAAACCTACTAATTCAGTTACTAATTCTTCTACTAATTTACTCCCTCCTTCTGTTAAAAAGGTAAGCACACTTGAAAGCGGTATAAATCATTTAAAAACCAAAGTGGAGCTCAAATCTACAAAATCTCCTTGTAAAAATATTTCATTTATAAATTACATATCTTACATTTCCATAAATATAAATACATAGATCCGAGACAAAACGTAATTGTTTTTATGATGTGTCTTAACTTCGGTGATATAATTAAAGTTCACGTGCTTTTAAACGAAGTGATGAATTTTTATCCGCTTTGCTTCAGCAGTTGTAATTAATAAAGTTCAACAATGTTCATTTATTTCTTAATAAATCTTTGAGCGACTCATTTCTACCCCGAGAATTATGAAGCGTAGTTTGGGGTGAAGATGGATGCAACATTGTAGAACTGATCTTAGTACCTTTTTTTATGATTTTTTACATAGATGCAACCTTACTAATGAGACCTGCCTATCCTCTTTGAAAGATAATTAATTAGAAGATCAGGCAGCAATTCCAGAAGAGATATTCGTGTCCACTTTCTTACTATATACAATTCGCTATGTTTATTCAAGCTGCGGAGGATCCTAGTTCTAATACTCTGAAATATAATTAGTGTGCCATCAGCTTGTTTATCTTAGAACAAATGTAGCCGTGCTAATTAACGAATAGTATCAAGAAACCTAGGGTCTGTTTTAAAGGAAGTCGAGAAGCCGAAAATTCACCTATAAATGGATACTTGAAACTAGATACACTCTTTCTGTTCAACCACAATGATCGGAAAAACGGATATCCTAACTCAAAGTAATCATGCGGACCAAAGTCTGGCCATATCTACAGACGTAGCACCACCAATCCACACGTCAACGACTTTCAGATTTCCTGATAATCCAGATGAGCTAATTCCAGTTGCTGACTTGGAGGTAAGAGTAGGCAGATTAGTGAAGGCCTACTAAGTAGCCCTAGGAACCACAACTTGGTAGCACAGACCCAGCGCCTTTCGTCTACTCCAGAGAGTTTGCGCCAAACGCTACACGACTGGAAGCTATCCTTTCCAGCATCTGCAAGGGACACGCATTAGTCTATGCTTCAGGTTTGGCTGCATTTCACGCTCTCCTAGTGAGGTTAAATCCTAAGATATTAGCCCTGCCACTTGGGAAGGGATATCACGGAATCCATGAAGTGGCACATGTCCACCAACGTATCGCAGGTACGAAAATTGTCGACTCTTTTGACACTGCAACATGGGATGAGGTTGGTCTCGGTAAAGGAGACGTCATACACATCGAGTCACCTATCAACCCATCTGGTGAATCGTATGATATTGCTTACTGGGCAAATCTAGCGCATGCACGGGGCGCATTGCTCACAATTGACAGCACTCTCGGGCCACCAGGTCTCCAGAATCCATTTGAGCAAGGCGCTGATTTCGTTATGCACAGCGGGACCAAGTACGTTGGAGGTCATAGTGATTTGCTTTGCGGAATTTTAGTCACTCAGGCCAGTACGGATGGCTGGAAAGTGTGGCATCAACTCCAACAAGAAAGACTCGCTCTTGGTAATGTTATTGGCAATCTTGAAAGCTGGTTGGGCGTAAGAAGCTTAAGAACGATGGATTTGAGAGTCAAGAGACAATCACAAACCGCATCAGAGCTCGTCAACTGGCTTGCTCATGACAACAACGACTCAAATGTCATTCGCAAGGTTCTTGAAAAGGTGCAACATTCCTCCCTTCAGGCAGAGGATAAGGAGTGGTTGGAAAAGCAAATGCCTGGTGGATTCCCAACAATATTCATTATATGGATGAAGAGCGAAGCAATCGCGAAAGCACTACCATCGAAACTTCGCTATTTCCAACACGCCACAAGCTTGGGAGGTGTCGAAAGTTTAATAGAATGGCGTACACTCAGTGATGACCGAATTGATAGGAGGATTTTGAGAATTAGTTGTGGTATAGAACATGTAGAAGATCTGAAGTCGGACTTGCTTCAAGCTTTCCAGAGTTTCCTATAATTTTATATTAAAAGCAAGATGAATGTGTCTATATTTGATGTCAACGGTTAGGTTACGGTTATCACTCCATTAGGAAAAGTACAAGCGATAGATTTCTCTACTGATTGCCACTGGATTGTGATTGCTAATAAAAAAAAAAGGCAAATTACTCCTGTACCATGTTATGCATTACAGTGAGAAAGTGACATATTAAGGAATCTTTGCGATTTTGTACACTTATTGCTTATTAGAAGACCTGATTTATGGACAGAAGTAAATGTAAAGATAAATAAATAACTGATGTGATTGTTAATATTGTATGTCCCGATTTTCTATCTTATTCTACAAGCCCATTTCATTCGAACACCATGAAGCTAGTTCATTGTGTAATATTCCTGTCTGTCCTGCGTACCGTAAAAGAAGACCCTGGTACGTCCAAGTTACACAAAGAAATTAGGATAGTTAATTACTTTAAAGACCCAGGAGACAGTAGCCTGGAACATAGATACATATGACATTTTACGAAACGCTTCTAGCGAATTCGGAACCCACGTTCAAAATCCGCATACTATAACTATTGAGAAAAAAAAATATGGTTTGTATCTTTTTAACCGTATAAAATATTTCATCATCGTCAATTATGAAAAACATTAAAGATCGCTTTTTCAACTAATCTCGCATTTTTAAAGGTATCGCTAATTGGTTGAATGCGAACATCAGTCACCCCATTAGCATGGCCACTTCGCGAGGACCGTATGCCCGATACCTCGATGGTTCAAGATTTTGCATAATTCATGTAGCTCAATAGAGTGTTGGATTATAAATCGATGACAAGCTTTCTATTTATTTGTGAAATATAAATACGCTTATGTCTTGATCATTGATTCAGATCACTACTACCTTAAAAGTCCCGCAGATTATGGTTATGACTTGTTATATATATATATATATTAGTAGTTATTTTTACTATATCTATACTTGTTAAGATCATGTTTATGTACAAAGTTGATTTTCATTATGTATATTTTACCTCCCTGTTAATTGTCGGTATCTTCACACCATAATGTGTCTTCGCATTCGATTACTTTTCATACTTAGATACATTTTCATATCTTACGACTAAATGACACTTATGTCAAGCACCTGTATTTGTATTATGACATGAAATTGTTCGACATAAATTCAAATAGCTCCAAGTAGAGTTAGCCTTGATATCACTAGCATAGATAGAATTAGTTTCAAGTCCAGCGTATATGGATAAGTGTGAAAGATTCGTGAGGAGAACAATTATTGCATTCCGAGGGTTAGATTAAAAATGAATAAATTTAACATTGTATAAATAAACTGAAATCCGTCTTGGCGCTACAAGCCGAAAAAGTTCCGGGTGAGCTAAATTAGTGGCCTCTGAAATAAAGGAGTTAAGCTAGAATCTCGAAACGTAATTGCTAACTTTTTTACAATGCTACGTTGACGGTTAAAAAAGGGTAATATATGCAGCATTGGTTAATGGATTTTACCATCAATTAATTTATCAGCTGGGGTCACCCTTTTCTTGCATATCTCGGTTAGATTAAAGAAAAAATCAATGAATCAATATAAATATTTTGGAAGAATCTTCAACTTTTACATTAAAAGTTCGAAATTTAGTTGAAATACATCGTTTCAGCTCATCAAGCTGAAGCAGTAAGATTATATCAACCATATTACTTATACAAGATCCCACGTTTTTGAATACTCTATCTATCTATATTGCTTTACGGAATAATCTTCTTGATTGTGGCTCATGAACTTAATAAGTTACATAAACGCGTTGACCGGCTTTATAACAGTGTTCAGCGTAGCCAACACGGCGGCAATGCCTCGGGTAACACAAAGTCAGAAGAATAATTATTCCCCGGGCCTACTTCATCCGTATGAACAGTGTTACAGTGTTATGATGACGATAGCTGTTGGACTAACTTGGCCCCGGATGAGGAGCAATATTCGGTGGAGCTGAACGCCCCGTTACACTGTACGGCTTATACCGGCCCTCCCCTCGTAGCTGGTTTGACTTTAGCTAGTGTGGGTATGGGAGGATATAATATTTATGCTCAGAGAATGAAGGATAGAGGTTCGAATTGCAGCCTAGTCTACATGCCAAGCAATGATGGCACTGGAGTTATGTTGTATTACCAACCGACAGGATCATGTGACACTACTGCATCAGTTCAACAGATGAGGGATTCATTAGCTGGTGCTGTACAAGCTATCAACTCTGTAAAGCCAGGTCATGCTGGGTGTATAGGGTTAGATCATGGAGGAAGGTACCACGGTTATGTAGCTATCGGCACTAATAATCTAGATGGACCAGGCGCTGTGCAAAACCAATGTGCATGCGGTGAACAAGTATGAGATGGGAGAGCCGCTTATATTAGAACAGAGCTTTGATATTAAGTGCTCACCTGCTGGTATAGCTACATGTACATGTGTAAAAGAGCTATAGATAAATACAGAAACATAAAACATATATATAAAACATATATATATATAATAGATACAATACATGGGAATATTTGACGCTGGCAAAACGACATCGAAAGTAAGATGTGTTTGTTGAGGGCACAGAAACAACCTGTGTCGGTATGAAAGTCATGTCTCACGTAGTTGCTGAGATATGGAAATGCCTGTCTATGACGTCATGAAAAGGTACACCTGAAACAGCTTAATATAGGCCCACTGAAAGGCTAACTGACACCAGCTGGCTTGCTCGTGGTCAATATATTGCTAAGTGTCTTTGTTTGCTACACTTCATTCTCATATGTGAAAGAAAGTTCATTGTTCGATTCAGTTATTCAGGAGATACTTGACGCAAACTACATCCATTCGAATTCAGGATTTTGGGTATTTTTGTGATCTGAGATGAGGGTGTCCCTGCAATAATCTCTGGATACCGTCCGAATCTAGGCCAGAAAAACGGGATCCTCGCAAATGAGAGAAGAGCAGATATTCACTAAATGGACGTGCAGAAACAGCCTGGTAGTATTCTTGTGGCTGTGGCAGCCCTAGTTGCTGAGATATGGAAATGCTCATCAATGAAGTCAGTCTATCCGCCGACCGGAAGTAGCTGAATATACGTTACGGTTATGAATTGGTTGGTTAGGTTTTAGGTCACAAAATACTATCAAAAGATCGTTACAAGAAGGTTTTCGTCATTTACAGCGAAGAAAGTATTGGCTTACAGTCTTTCATTTATACAATTTTGGCCTTTATTGAAAATGGAAGGCTAAACTGGGATGTACTCATTTTCGTTCGATTATGAGGACAACGGCGAGTTACATCCTGTAGCATAGATTCAGATCAAATTTTAAGCATGTTCATATAATGCCTTTCCCCATGCCCCTTTACTTACTGTCAGTATAGCCTTGTAAGTACAACCAATTTAAGTATTGTGTTTATCACCTGATCTGAAGGCACATTTACGAGCAACGGAAATTTAAAGAGGAAGGTAAGAAGTTTCAGGAGTTTCCTGGTTGATATTCATCTGATAGCTGGTGCAAAACGAAAACATTTATAATAACAAGAGATATGTTTACTGCTATTGTAGCTGCGTGAGTTAATCCCTTTATGAAAGGTTGCAGTATATTCAAGAAAATGATTAAAATACTTCTCACGAGATTTGTTTCAAGGTCGAATCGCAAAATGACCTCAGCACTCTTCAGTTTTAATGATACCCACACCTTGCTTGAACTAGTAGAAATAACTCGATGGAAGATCATGTAAGAAAGCATTAATGGTAACTGGCTTTTATAAAATAATGTGACTGTCGATGTTCCTAATTTAGGAGGTGATCGATTTATCCATTTGGTGACAAGAGAATTGTGTAGCTGCATGAAATTACTGTTTATTAATCTTATAGTTAACACGCATTGACAAGCCTCCGAACATCTCAACGACTTGCTTTTTGAGAAAGTATAATATACCTTGTCCTACCACAGGAACCAGATGTCTGCATATTAATATAATCGGTAAAACTATTCGGCAATCATAAAATGAAAAAACCATTTTTCGGATCATATGAAGATGTCAGAAGTTAATAAATATATATATATATATATATCGAGATCTTTTTAGTCGCGCTAACCCCCTTAGTTAGTCTAGCCTGTAGTGGATTTTTTCTTGCTGGCACTAAATGGTCTTAAAGACTATTTTAATAGGTACAGTTCTGATGCTGACATATTTTGGAGCAAACCAGGGTAGACAGAGGACTCCGCGTAAGCAGTGATTATTTTTAGGGTGCTGTCCGCGTAATATTCGGCATGAAGTAGTCGGTGATCGGGAACTGAATCTTCTAGATTTTATAATACTTCTACACTGTAGACCATTTATAAAAAAAATAGTTGCCAGTCATTGTATGTTATGTATATTTTTATCTTGGATATACAAATTAATTCTATTCTAACGCCATCGAAAATTTTAAAAAGTTACCGAGGACTCACCAAAAAGTATATAAACATGTCTTTTTATATGCTGAGGAATACTAGGAGGACAACGAGCTATGCTCCTTTACTTTACTGAACCTTTCTTACCGTCAGTTAGCTTCTAACGTATGGTATGTTGAGTATACTGATTGACTTTTCAACCAACTACAAAAGTTATACGAAAACGACGGACACGTCGAGCATTAAAATGATACACCCTAAACTTCTTCCGCTTACTAGTTTCTTGGCTCAGATTAATTTGTACCTTTTATAAAAAAATGACACATTTGAGTATAAAAGACTCGTAACCTTCTATAAAACCTTCAAACAGTTCATTCTGAAGATTAATTTTTCGAGATATCTTTAATATCTTCGAACGTGTTTATAATCCACTTATTTGCAAATTTGGTATTGTCTTTACTATTCATAATAGCAAAATTTCAAGATATCAAGTATTTTTACACTTACCAAATTGATGGACTGTTTATTGTTAGTCTTTGGTTCAGCAATGCCTATTTTCTCTTTAAATATGTCAGGGTTGGATAAACAAACTTTGATGGACAACTACGAACACTTTATAGCTTTCAAAGGTTCCGTGGAGAAGAGGCAACATCCAAATACTCTTGCAGGTTACAGTCCGAATCTAGGCCACAAAAACGGGATCCTCGAAAATGAGAGAAGAGCAGATATTCACTAAATGGGCGTGCAGGAAGGTTAGGTTATGGTTATGGATTGGTTGGTTAGGTTTTAGGTTACGAAATACTATCAAAAGATCGTTACTAAAAGTGAAAACTTTCAAAGTAAGATATCTTAAAATACAGCCTATATCAACCGGAAGTTTGTCACTCTCTTCCTTACGAACGCAAACGAAATAAGCCTCTGTAGGTGGTCACAGTTGGGCGTAATCCTGCGCCATTGCTTGAAGTGTTCCGTGGTGAGCGTACTCATGACACCTCCCGCACCAAACACAATCGGCACAAACGTAACTGGAACATGATCACGATACTTGAGGACCTTCTTATGGGTTTGATGAAGGGTGTTAAATGGTGTGGAGTGCTATATAAAGATATATGTGTGTTAGCTGTTACAAGGTAAATACTGGCAGACGACATCATTAAAATTGCCGTGATAGTTCCACATTCATAAGTAGTACCACTGTATATTAAAAGATGATGATTCAGTTATCAACCTCAAAGTATACGTGTACTGTCCGCAAGATCTATATCTGACAAAATATTTATCGGTATCTAATATGTCATGTTCAGTAATACTTGTGGGAATAATATGAAACTGATGCTTTAATAGAGAATAAATTATAAGCCAAAAGTTGAGTAAGTTATTGACGGTATGAAGCTATCATGACTCACCAAATCTCATCAAGACGAGTTCCAACTGAAATAATTCAGTAACCAAATTTGCTCACATATTCTGGTAACAAGTTCCTTTCATCATAGAGATTAGGATCGCCAATCTGGTCTAATATCGTTCACGTACCAATAAACATTATATCTCATATAATTAACTTTAATGAGTCTTGATTTGGCTATGAAAGCTTGGATGTAGTTAAGATAATGTTCAACGTCAATGCATGATGATGTTTCTCTTTCTCTCGTTCTTCTAGAAATGTTACACACGTTGATTGTCATAATAGTTGGAATTTCGAGTTGAGAGAAGCAACTCAAAGACCATCTTCACGTCATATCTTTGTTCACCAGTGAATATTATTCGAATCCTCCCATCATATGCAAGTCCAAGAAATTACGGACGTGATTGATATATTTGCGTGATCTTGATGTCTCTCTTGATAGTGCAGGTATTCACTTTTGAGGGTCTGTCGATAATAGCAAGGTTTCGAGTACTGCTGGTTTGATATAAAATAGACCTGCAAACGTAAGACAGCACCTAATTCTAAAATACAACTCTGTAGCTATCATGAAGGCAGATGAGCCGAACCAATACTCGTATTAACGCAATTGCCACATGTCAATTACTCCTTTCATTCGTGTTTTACATCTAATGACAAATATAAAATGAACAAGTGGTCGGAAATTCCAGGAGAAAACTCCTATAAATTGAATGTTTCCACGCATGTGTTAAAGATCAGTTTAGTTACCAAAGTACCAAGATGATGCATTTGTAGAAAACGAACATTTTTTGAAATCCAGCAAATAAATTACATTTGTTTAATGTCTTTTAACAGGGTTGTAGAAATTGTGGTACCAACTGTTACCAGAACCCACTTTGTCCTCCGGAAGATGTGCTAAGAAAACATTGTCCAATAAGGAACTTCTTGTACTAAGCAAAAGTTGTACACGAAACGTACATTAAAAAGTAAAAAACGACAAAGTGTAGTACAATATTGTATAATAACTCGAATTTATTATTGTAACTATCATGCCTGATTCTAACTACCCTAGAAATTGCGGACAACTATCCCAAACTCCACAAGCTAAGGAAGTGCAGATAAGTGCTGTTTTAATTTTTTGTCGCTTCAACAGTATAATGTGATTTTGTCACCATTTCATAAATTTTGCTTTTTTTTTTCAATTATTCTTCAAAAATTACATATAAAAAGCGTGTCGGAACAAATCATACAAATCATCCTCGACTTCGTACTATAGTCAAGTAATATGGCGTATAATGTTGATAGAGTAGGAAACTTTGAAAATAATTCCCGAAAGAATCCATTGGTTGTTATCTACCTTATATACAGCATGATACTGGTAATTTTAACGGTACACATATCAACATAACTAACAGCGAAATCTCCCTAAACTGTGAATTAGGATGTCCTGGAGTAGACTATGGAGGACACGTTATGGTACAAAATGACGATGGTCAGCGTGTTGTAGTCTATCCATGCGTGAGACGCATTAGTGCCGACATCTTGCTAAGGCCCGAATCAAGTGGAGCTGGTGGGAAAACTTTAACAAACGGAGCACCGGGACTGGTATTTCTCTCAGTGCTGACCAGTCTCATACCTATTGTTGTAGCATCTAGAGCTTATGTATAACCTTACGATTGTGTAAATCACTGGTATCTCTAATATATATTCTTTCCGGGTATATTATGGGTTTAAAAAAATTAAATATAAAAGAGTATACTCCTTCATCCAAATGAGCTGTAAAATAATAGAACATAGTGTCTTAGTTTTTATACCTCGGATGCACCGTTCTAATACTTAATTCTATTGGAGCTACGAATTAAAGTCGGAATACCCTAGAAATAAATAGGAACACCCGAATGAATACGTATGGAGGATATATACATTCAAAGCGTCTGCAGAGTTTTATAACTGAAAAATCCCATTCATCGTCTCCAATTGATACTTATGTGTCGATTTGAAGTTATAATGATTGTTAAGTTATCTGCATCTTTACAATATTTTTAGTGACCTAGTGGGAAGTTTCCAATCAGCACAATGTCCCCAGGAACATGCGGACAACGAAGCATTATATAAGTGACCTTTCTTAGTTTTTATTCTTGGTGAAGACCAATCATCCCATCAAAGTGTCATACAATTCAGATAGCCAGCTGCTACGCTTTAGGAGAATCACCCCTGAACAGTACCTACTAAAAATAAATTTGAGCTACATACATTGTGTAGATCAACGCCATACCTTAAGAGCTGATTTACACTTCGACATTTTGACCACATCAAACTATCCTATTATCAATATATTGAGAAATGCTAGTCTTGAAGTTGCAAGACATTTACTCGGGAATTTTAGTAATCGCCCTATTGACATTGGCTCAAATTACCTACGCATTCCATGTGACAAGTTCGAACGGTTTAAGCTCGCCACCGAAGGCGAATGTGGGGGACACATACAGTTCGTTTGGAAGCGAAGCAACTAATGGCATCAGTGATAAAAAAATGTGGCCAGGTGCTTTGAACGCTTTACCAATGACCAATGGAACCAGAACCTCAGTTGATAAGAGAGCTAATCAGAGGCCGGCAGCATTTGTATCTTGGGTAAGAACCTCAACAGACCTAACATTTTCTGTGGTGTACGCCGTAAGTGCACCCTGCGTTAAGAACGTATGGAGTTTAGCCGATGTGTATTATAATACTGGATTACCAGGAAATGCTATACTCAATTGGTTTGAGGAAAGTTTAACAGCCGGAGAAGGTTCCGATTCGTGGCTTAATCCAGTAACATGGCCCGATGTGTTACAGGGAGAGACAGCTGATGCCATAAACTATTATTCGATCCATGAGGATGGCAATGTTATTATGAGTGTTAGTAAAGTCACAATAGAAGTAAACGATAATACCTGGTTCGACCCCGAAGGTATAGGTAGCTTTATTTGGAGCGTAGCTGAATCTATGGGCCTAGGAACGAACGTATACTCCAACTGGGTACCTACTAATGAGGAGCAGGCTCCACCGGGAGGGTGGCGCCGCGAGGAAGGAGATAATGAACAAGACTACCATTCCATAGCTTATTTATATGCTGCTAATGACAACGTCTCCAGCGAAGAGCTGGAATTTGTGTTCAAGGCTATTGGCGATAATGAAGTATCAGATATAGTAGACGAAATGCAACACAACAAAAGTAGCATTAAGCGTGCATCCACGTATAATTGTCAAAGTTTGGATGGTAGACAATGCTATTCTGGCATTACGCCGTATGTTAGTACACACCACCAATCAACATGTTACGGATATCATGAAGGTTTCTATCCTTAAGTATTTGTTCATAATAGCAGTTATTAAATAATTTTTTTTTGATTTACATCCATTGGAACTCGGGATTTACATCCGCCAATTTCTCGAATTTTGGCCATTTTTGGGATTTGAGGTAAGAGCGGATCCAAGGTAATTGTCAGCGTAGGAACAGAAGTAGCTGGGTCTGGTCGGTGTAGCTGCCGTCGTTGCTGAGATGAGGGCCTATGACGTCATATAAACATTGAGTGAAAATCTTCACTCAAAGTAGCTCAACACAGGCGCTGTAGAAGCTTGAATGGCACTTGTGGGTGTGCCTCTGTGCTGTATCCTGTAGTGCGCCTTTACAGTTCTAATGCATGAGAAAGCAGAGAGTTTCGTCGATTATCTACGTGAGGCAATTTCTGAATTAATAGGGTGGAACGAACGCTATAAAAGAACATATAGGATAATTGAGAGTTGAGGAACAGATTAAGCTTTTCCATTTGTCTTTTTCCCGGGTCATTGATGAGTAGCGAAGATATCTACCGATGACGTCAGTAGTAGTCGAAGATGATCTCAGCCACCAGAATAGCCAGAAATATACCACGTCAAATACTTCTTTAAATTGTCACAAAATATATTAT